AACCATACATGTAACTTGCCCTCTAGGTGTTTGTCTAAAAACACGATACCATTAGTCAAAGTTAAAAAGCAATGCCCGACAGCCTGAAAGGCAGCTCACGGTACTGCCACTTCGCCTGTTCTAACTAAGAGGACAGACTGTAGTTACAAGATCAATTCTGGCTCTAGAGTGTTAACAGATAAACTCAACATCCCCCTCTGTTAGGATTCGTTTTCAGCTCGGAGTGCGTAAAACTCAGTCTCAAAACAGTGGCGATAAATAACTGCTAAAAAGGAATTGTCTTTAATAAAAGAGGGCTTTGTCAAGACTAGAGATAGCTAAGTTTTTTTTTCCTTAGAATTCCTTTTCAATCCCAGTTTTTTGGAAATAAAACAAGTGGCGTGGGTGATTAATTTTACTTCGTACTGGCTTTTAATTAGAGTGAATGGACGACATGTTTATTCGTAGATGTCCTAAACATACAAATTCTCACACTCAGCATCGAAAAGTGATGAGAATAGACAAATTGGTTAGTTACGAAATGTGTGGTAACAAGAGGAGTTATAATCATTCTTTGATCAGATTTTGGGAACAAAAAGGTAACCTGCCTCTTGTTGCTTATTTTGTTCAGGTTCATTAACAAAGAAGTCCAAGAATCGTGGAGTGGATATAGAAGGGTTGAAATTAACACCTGTTGTGGACTTCGCTTCAGGTATGCGCTCACAGAATAACTGCTAATTGACAGATCGTCTAACCTGAGATGGTCAGTCTCGTATGGAGTACTTACTTTCTGACTAAAGTACTAGAATTTCAAAGCTTCTTGTCAAATATAAGCTCCTCAACTATCGCAGTTTACCGCATTTTTTGCGTATTGACTTCTACGCATGCGTAATAATATTTTCAATGTGTTTTAGAATTCGGTGACGTAAAGGAGACCACAACTGAGGGAGATAATACATCTATTGTTGCTGACAAAGCACCCCATATCAAGGTAGCGGAGATCATTAAAGAACTCATCGCGTTTTGTCGCGAGCTGAGAGAGAGAACTGAATATGTAAGTGAGCCTACCACACAGGAACTAGCGCCTAAATTCCTTCAAACTGAAGAAGATCAAACTGATGAAAAGGTGAGTTTTTCTCGCGGAATGAACCCTAAGTCCAAGAGCACTTTCATGCATTAGAACACTAAGAATGGTATGTGCCAGGCTCTGGTAAGAAAGCGACTGCGCGTAAATCGACGGGGGTCAGGCAAAGAAAAAAGAGAAAGAAAACGTTACTCTGACAGCCTGAAAGCACACCACCTAGTTATTATAACGTGTGCCCATACGTAAACGTTTGACCACTGTGTTACTTGTGGCTCGCCTGCTGCTTCTCTCACCTCCTGGCCGAATAAGAGCCTGGAACAGGGTATAAACAGAAGTGATTGATCTGTAACTTTTCCTTACAATGTCTATACATTATCCGGAAAACGGGTGTTTATAAAAGACAAATCCTGTACCGTGGACGGTGTTTTCTTCATATTGCGTAAAATTCTCTCAATTACCTTCCAAGAATCATGTAACAATGAGAAGGGAGAATTACTTATTAGATACTAAAGAATTCACTTAAGTTTTCATTGCCCTTACTTTTTTTAGGATGCCAAGTCTTAAACTCCAGACATGAGACACCTTGAACAATGCAGCAGTGTCCTTTCTTGGGAAAATTCCTGCGCTCTATAGGAAAGCAACCTTTATAAAGCTTACCCTTCTTGACACAAGCCATGCTCGCCGAAGGATCCCAGGGAAACAGGCAACGTGGTAGTAGAATACTTCTACAATTTCCAATTGATCGATTTTGAAATTTGATTTTTTAGTTTTTTAAAAATTTCGATTTCCTGTCAAAATTTATTACTCACTTATATGTTTACTTATTTACTAATGTTTCTTTCTATCGGTAGAGTTTCTTACAGTTACTCGTTATTGTTAGACTCTTAATAATTAGGGTGGATATACGCCCACATATGACTCTGACTTCAAACCAACAGTGCTTTTTTTTTCTCAATACAAAGTTAAGTTGAGGGAAATAGTTGATTTCATTTTTAATTTAGCGATTAAAGAGACAGTTGAAACTATCAATGATAGTATCCCTGCAATAATATAACGAATCCGCAGCTAAACTATTTATATGAAAACTGACATCTAGCACGCTTAGTTTTTCCCCTTCCAAGAAGAGCACTTCGATGTTGATATGGAACAAATTTTGATCGGATAATTGTCATGGTACGATAATTAAAAAAAAAAATTATTAAAACGAACATGAAATTAATCATTTTGTGACCTGCGGATACCGGGGCGGAAAAACATCTAACCCTTAACACCCTTATATCAGTATGCATACTCTCCATACTGTTCTCTAAATATTTCCTAAGGCGCTGACAAGGAGAATTTGTTTGTCAATCAAGAGAATATTTAGTTGGTGATAATTTCCTTTATTCTCATAACCTTATTGTGTGATACTGTTGGGAGATATTATATGCTAGTCACTCTCAGGGGTTAAAGGGTAAAAACAATAATCCTGGCAGGTGGGCTGCAATTGCAGAAACCATGCAAAAAAAAAAGCCTAAAAAAACCTCTGCCTCTTAGATACTAGTCAGGCCGCTATTACCTACCGAGTCACGAAGCTAAATGTTAGCCGCCAGCTGTTGCTAGGAACATCTCAGCCTACTTCCATTTTCTGACCGCACGACACCCTTGATTTAGCCCTCAAGAAATAAATACCATGGGATATCCAAAAATTTTTATTTTGGTTTGACTGCTTGGAAAAATGAGCATATATAACTTAATTGTTTCATGTACAAGTATCGGAGAATTAGAGAAGTTTAACATGGCACAAAACTAGGCACACCAAATTCAAATTGGAAGTCTTTTAAGTTGACCAAATTACAAATTCGTCGCCAAGTCTCCACCGTGATGTTTCAACGAGCCCGCAATCTTCTCTGCTGACTCATTCACGGATAGAGACTTGGTTAAGCAACCCAGGACTGTTCTCTGAGCAATTCTCAATCGAGTGTCGAAAAAATCCCGAATTACGCCAGCTTTGCCTCAAAGCGATAAGTGATTTGTTAACAAATTAAGCGCAAATCTCTCAACCAATCAGAAACAGAACCAAAACAAATCGTGCCTTTTCGTTTTCCCGCGCTTAAAATTGTTAAAAGAATTTTCCTTTACGTTCCATTGGTTCCTTTTGATGCTGTCCATTGTTCTGATTGGCCGTCGAGATTCCTTTCATTGAAGAGAATTTTAAGACACTCAATCGGAAAGCGCTCTCATTCTTAAAAATCTAATTTTACGGGTCGAGTATCACCATGCAAGTCTTGAAACGAGCCTCCAGTCTACAAATGAGTGGAAAGTGAAGCTACAATACCCCAAAACACCTAATACTTAATTGTTTACGTTTTATTTGCGAAAGATGGCGGTATTTCATTAAATACCTCATACGCTGTTAAATAAGCAATCATAAATAACGGCCAATAGGCAATTTATCTACAGCTGACGAGCAAGCTCTCGAGTAAATTAATTTTAGTCAAGTAGTTTAGGTTGTATCTAAAGAGAATTTTAAAGCTACATGTAAGAGATCACATCTATCATTAGATTTAATTTCGAGTCTTACGCAAGCTGTTCAACTCAAGAATAACGTTACAGGCACCAAGCATGTTTGAATGATTCGGTTTAGAGTGCTCACGTGATTAAATTCGCGAATCAGGATTGAATATTTCAAGATCCCCTTAAAACTCTCCCAACACGGAGGGGTGTGTGATCTCCTTACTTTTCCTTCCGGTACAAGACCTTAAAAAATAAATTCGTTGTTTTCAAGTTTAAATTTAACGACATCTTATCTCCAACGAAGGACAATACATATTTAAAGTATGAATGAATTTGAAAAACGACTGTGTTAGTATAAAGTGCTGTATCGCTGTAATTGAATCGATTCAGGCATAGATCGTATGAAAATCCTATTAGACAAGTGCCTTGCAAAATGCTATTCACAGATTCAAATGGTTTAATTGAAGCTAATATTTATAGCTTTTTGTAATGAACCTGGAACCATTTAAAAATGTTTGCCAAAATACATTTTTTCTTCGGCGCCGAAAAAGCGGATACTTAGCTCAAACAAAATGCCTCATAATTTAGCATAACGTCCTCGAAAAACAAAACATCAAAAATACCCCAAAAAAATATACTCAGAAAGGAATTTTTTAAAATACGAAAACGAATCCCCCGTACCTTTGAAGAAGATCATTCGTATGACTTCACACTTACTCCCTTTTCATGCTGCATGGAAAATCACACGAGCATAGGAATCTTATACCTCATTCACACCAAAGCTTAAACATGGTTTGAAGCTTTTTTGTCAAACAAGATTTCAATTTGTCTTCTAAATAGAAGCTTCTTCACCCGAAGTTTGTGTCTTCAAATTTCGCAAATTCAAAATACAAGTTAGTACCTACTAGAATCCTATGGAAAATTCAGTTTTTAGTTCTGCTTCTGATTATCATTCAGTTAAACCCGGTTTAACTGAACGTGTTTTGCTGGTGTTAATGGGGTATCAAAATCATTTTTTCAGGTCAGCTCTTAACTTCTTTCGTCGTCTCCAGCTGAACTACCAGAATTTTCTCGTGTTTATGAATACCGGTAATATAAGCTCCTGTTTGATCAATTCGTTAACGAAGTTACTGATTTCGAGGCTTGTAAGACACTCAAGACAACTTATGCTAAAAAAAAGGCTCGAGGGATTCACTTCCTTTTCGTTTTCTTCCAAGACAACAGATAACCACAAGCTCAAAATATTATTGTTATTAATGGGCCCGCCCATAAGAGAAATAAGCACACAAGGCTGCTTTTATCGCAACTTGACACAATTTGTTTTCAGTAGGCTAACTTGCCATGAAAGGTTTTCCGCTGATGATCTTGAACTTCTTATCCAGGAGATTGACCTACAAAACCGCGGCTCAAATGAAGATGGCGGAAACCGTAGCGTCTTTATCAATATCGATAAAAGGACGAAATATCCAAAGCTTACTATTAATCTCTCATAGAAAGCGTGGGTTCTGTTTCCTAGGTCGCTTGGCACTGTGATCAGGAATGTCTTCCCAGTAACACAGATTAGCTGTCTCTGTGGCGGAGGACTGTAAAGTAAAACAAATTTCGAAGGACGGAATCAAAAATTGTCTTTGCAAGTCCAGCGGTTATGCATGGAATGAGTATTCTGGACTAAAGTCAGTATCTGAGCAACAGCGCACCTACCCCTCCCCTAACCCAACATCAACCTTAAGTTGTTATCAGTTGACTGTTTTGGGTTGTTGTTCTCACGAAAACACTTCACCCAGACCTCTTCATATATTGACCATTGAAAAGAGATCCCCCCCAAAAGTAGCGCCACTTGGATGTTCGCTTAAACTTACCAGTCGCTGTTGCACTTTAAGAGGAAGTTCTTCACTTGCTTTGTACACGTCCTCCCGGCGGACGCTTAACCACGAATCATCTTCGAATTCAACCTAATCCAAAACAAAATGGTTTCAAAATTTCTCGTGTTCGTTCAATGTTACGTAGAGTAACGCCAATCGTTACATTGTACGTTCTCTATTTTCGTGTTTTGTATGTACTGTGGTATTCCTAAACCTTCAGTTAATGGGTGAAATGATGGGGAACATACAGATGATTGGAGAAAAGTTGTCAGAAAAAAAGCGTAAAAGTGAACGCGACAACCCCGAAATCTGTTGTGGGTAGTCTTCAGGTCACGGTTCCTTGAGCTCGGGATTTCAGAGAAACCTGGAAAACGTCACGGCAAGGACGAGGTATCGCGGGTTTGATGAATTCTGTTAATCATGTATTTATTTGACTTATTAAAATTGATTGGTTACCGGATACCCAGAAGACATTTCGAGATTGCGGCGTGCACTTTCGTCTTTTTTTGCCGACAACCTTTTCTCGTAACAGCTGTATGCAGGAGTATGACTAATTCCGCAGGAACACGTTATCCTATTTGAGCAAATGAGGATAGCTTGGTGGAGTTAATTCCTTCCAGGAGGACCATCCTGTCCGTCCAAGTTGCTTTATAAGTAGAGGATCCCCCTTTATCTACTCTTTCTTTGCACCTTAATCAGAAAAAAAACATCTTTGCGAATTTTGTGGACCTTTCATAGAGTCAAGATAACTTACATACCTGGTATGTAACGCTTATTCTTCGGCCAGTGACTCTGGCTTTATACAGTCCACCGTCCTCGCTCCACCTGACTTGAATAACCCTTCCTACAGGAATATCCTCTTGTGTGTTGTCATGACCCTACAAAGAACAAGAAAAGCAACATCATTAGTAAAAAAGTTGTGGTCATTCTTCTAAAAGAGCTCAACTACGGTCTGTGCAACATGGGAAATTTATCTTTATTATCTGAGCACGTCATTTGCAATCTAACTATGGCCACTTATTTCCCTTCTTCTACCCAATTTGGTCTTTCTCTCTTTCGTCGCACATATTAAGCACTTCGATCAATGAGCAACATTTGAACCTAGAAACCCTTGAGCCTTAGAGGTCACTGACTTAAAAAACCCGGTTGGCCAGAAAATTCACCGAGTCGCCAGGTCGTTACTGTAGTGCGAGTCCTGCTCGATTCCTAAATTTTTTCGGGCTCACATTTACTTATCTCACTGTGTAGATCAACACTTCAGTACTGAGGCGCTCTAAACTTGCCTTTTTCAATTAGTCCACAAGTAGTGTTTTTGCATGTGATATCTAAACTATTATCATTTATGCCTCTTAAAGAGGAGTTTTAGGAATATCTTATTTAGCTATAACTATTTGCGCATTTTTTTTTTCTAACGATTTTAAACGATTTTTAGAGGCTCACTGATTTTGGTCTGAGCATTAAATCATATTTACAAGTATTTTCCGCTATATAAGTTATACCATCATTACTATTCTTATCAATTTTATTATTATTATTATTACTGTTATTTCTTCATTTACCACAAGCTTCTTACCACAATGTCAGTTGGAGGTAAATTATCGCAGTACGTCCCATCATCAAATGACACCACATAATACTCATCAGTTGTCGTGTCCTGCACCACGCCCCTGTAATATCTGAGACAAATGCAGCAGACCCAAGTTAAGAGTCCATCAAGGTACGCAGACTATCTAAACTAACTTGGTAAGTTAGTTAGAATTTACGAGTTGATTTAAGGCACATTACTGTCTCCTCCACCTCTCCCCTACCCCACCCCAATGTGATGCTAGTCAATCGCAAATGACCTCACTAACCAAAGGTTTCCTTCTGCCTCCTTACAAGGAGGCTCTGTAAGAGTAGTGAGAAAAACAGAATGCATGGGGAAAAAAAAAGAAACAATATTTGAACTGATCTAATTTACCTTCCATTTTTGTGCTTGGCTACAACGGATTCACCGAAATGAATAACAGAGAAGTCTCTCTGCTTTCCCTGAGAAAAAAAAGGGAAAAGATGAAGTTGTATAAGCTATCTTTTACCTTTCCTCCTAAAGAAGAATAAAATAATCGTTAGGCTCTTTGCGTTACCCCATGAATCACCTCAAAAACCTCTCGTTTGTCCTCAACCTAAAGAGTAGCATTATTTTCAGCTTCCAGAAAAATTACGTCCTTTTTTCTTTTCAACATCTTATCGCTCCGCGTTATGAACAGCGGATCACAGAGCCAAGTAAAAAGCAAATAAGGAATACCAAGGGAATTTGAAGTTTATGATCGGAATACGCTCTTAGTGGCAACAAGGCATTTGCACTACATAAAAGAATCTTACTTTAAATCTTGTTCTCAGATGTCTCTCGCAGTAGGTTTCCGTAGGTTGCGGCCAATCACTTGGCTCCAACACGAACCCGGCCAAAACAAAGCACGTCACATGAAAGGATACTGCACACTTTCCCGCGCAACATTGTACGCATGCACCATTATCCCTTCCGCTAGCCGTGGAACTTGATCGACAATAAAAACATTTCTAAAGAAACGCAAAAGAAGAGCATGACGCACTGAACCAGGTACCGTGGGACTGACTCGAAAGCAACATAACAGAAAAAGGAGGATAGCGTGACGCATATCATAATGTTAACAGGGTGAAACAAACATACATACAAGCCAAAAAATCAGAACGCCACAATGAAAGAAGCAAGGCGTATAGAGATAAAGTTACCACAATATTATAATGAACGAAAAGGAAAGAACAAAAGTGCTCCACTTACAAGTTTTCTTCTTGCTGAAGTAATTTTATCGATGTTAACTCCTTCCCTAAGATTCACATCGACAAAGAACACTTCAGGTACAGCTACTGCACATCCTATATGAACCCATCTGCAAGAAATGACACGAGAGAGTAGTTGTAAGTGATATTAGGGACCTTACGCGGTCAAGAATCAAAAACAATGATTTTTTGTTTTTAGCAAGAATTTCGCAAATAGCAAGAATTTCTCAAATGGCTGGATGTGTTTACCATCTCTTGCGGCGTTACACCCCAACTTCAGCATAACACATGTGCGCAGCGTTAAGTTCCAAACTTTTAAAAATTTTCCGTCGGGGTTTCCGTTCTAAGACCACGTCAATTTTGGTGATTTCACGCTGTTTTTTCAAAACGCACGCGCTCAACTACGGTTCTGCTCACTAGTTCTTTTGTTTTGATCGTTCTAGGGATGTTTGCTCATTAGACAGTTTGTGATCCGCACTTTAATGAATAAGAAGGAGTCCCTATGGAGAAGACTGACTCCGCATCGCAATGATAAGGAAGTTGTCGACCATAAACAAGATAAGTTATTATCCTCGGGAACGTTGAAAATACCTGCTGTCTGTTGTCCTCTTCAAAGCACCACCACCCAGTCTACATAACGAGCAATACTGTGGGGAAAACAAAAACAAACAATCTCATGAGAAATATGAAATAGTCTTTCGATATTGATGATATCAATAGCGAGTTGGCGTCCAAATCTAGTTTTCGTAACATTTTACAGACAGTATTGCACATTTAAAGGGTAGCAATGCGCACATCAAGGTACAAGGTCTTCACCTACTCACACTATTTTCAATGGCTGATTGATCATCTTGAAGACATCTTTGACATTTCCACTGGCCATCACTTGGAGCATGACTTACACCATAACAACCTAACACAAAATCCAGTAAAAACTCTTCAAACTGATTTCAAACAGCTGGTTGTTTATGTTATGGTACCCTTTACTCAACAGGCTCTGCCCTGAAAACACATATTGTTGCAGCAAAAACACTCGTATGGTTTCAAACAACAACAGTTACTAATCTCAATTTACTTCAATCAACTTTACGTCGATGTATTACTCACTCAAAGTACCGGCGAGTGAATGTTCAGCGCAGTCTCATGAGCTCCTTTTAGAATTTGTGACCGACCTGTACTCTTGAAAGCATATGTATTTCCCCTTAAATCAATGAAACATTATAAGAACCCAGCTGTATTTCGCTAAGAACCATTTACATTCAGTTCGTGGGGGCCGCGAGACATGGCGGGAGTAAAGAACCTCGACCACAGGGCCACCACGTAACTCACCACGAAATAAAGTAAATAAAACTAACACTCCTGACAGAAAACTCTTTTTCGTCAAAACAACACATTCTTTTCCGTGATTCAGTTTTCTACTCACTTGCATGAACAAGTAATTTACATGATGCACATCGTAGCAGAGGACTTGCTGTATCTGTGGTGAACTTTTTGTCCAGCCAAGAGCTCATACTCTCAGGACTGGAGTCGTCCGACATGAAGCAAATCTCTGGTACTTTAGGGACAGACAGCTTTTCGGTCAAACCAGTTAGGTTTATCGTTAAATTGGAAAGCGGTTTGTGGAGATTTTCTCTTAGATGTACTAGCAGATTATCCTGAGAAATAAAACATAAGTGGGTAGTAAGTTTCAGTTGAGGAAAGAGTAGGAAGGTGTGACAGCTGCGCAGCAAAGCAGGCTAATGAAGCGTTTAAGGTAAACATACGACTGGTGCCTCGGACTAGCGTGGGGAAATGCAATTGCTTCGAGGCGCAGGAAATTTTAGACTAGTGTTTTGTGTTAGAAATGCACATGGAAAATCATGCACACGGGTTTGAGAAGAGTGCGATCAATGGCACGCTTGAGAAAACAACAGATACAAAGGAGTATCACTCTTCCAAGTGAAAATACGAAATATTTACCCTGATCAGAGTATAACGCACGGATGTTTTCGGCAAAAGACAACATAAGGCAGTCCAAACAATCGCCTCGTGTTGGTCATTGCATTGCGTCCCTAATCTCAGCTTTTTCCCAAAAAAAACCTTTCTTACCTCTGATTTTGAGAAGAAGCTACAAACAGAACAATGAGGTTCCTGCTGTGAGAGAACGATGTTAAAAGCCTGTTCCATCTCAAAATTCGGCAGCTGATGATGCCATAGCCCGTCAAGAATACTAGACAGTATTTTATTGGATGTGCTAGTTTTTCCTCCTTGATCTTTCCGACCTGCAAGTTAAAAAAAATCGAGATTTTGACGTAAAAGGGTCTTTCCTCCAAAGAAAGAAGCTTTTTGCCGGAGGGTTGGAATAAAATTATTCCGTTACCTCTCGGCAAATTCTACTTTACCCTCCTTAGCTTACTTTGAGGCACTTTTTCAAACTTTTACCACTTTTGGCCAGAAGATCATCAGCATTTTGTTACTAACATTAAGACACTTTACCCTTCAACCCCTAGAGTGACTAGCATCTAATTTCTCCTTACAATATCGCCCCTGGATCAAACATGAAGGTCACGAGAATAAAGGAAAAGATCACCAACTAAAGAAGCTTTTGATTGTTTGACAAAATCTCCTTGTCAGCACCTAGGGTTTTGTATACAGAACAGTATGGAGAAAATGCATATTGATGGTATAATAACTGCAGTAAGTTGCCTCATGGCAGGGATGTTTACTAACTAATATCTATTCAATATCTATCTAAGCCCATCGTTTCTCCTGGGGCATGGGCCGTCAAAAACAGTCCGCCAGAGATCTCTCTTCTGAGAAATTCTTTCTTATTGGCTCCATGAGTGGCCGCTCTTTCTGATGTCAGCCTCAAGGTCATGAAGCCAGGTATTCCATGGTCGCCCTCTTTCGCTCTTACCGTGGGGATTCCAGCAGAGGGCGCGTCTTAGGACATTTAATAGAGTGGTTTAGCAAGAGGAAGGGAATGTCAGTTGACAACGGCGCGCGTAGCAAAAATATTGATAAGAAACTGGGTCGAGAACGTCGCCCCGTCGTGTCTCAGAAGAGACTTAGCAGTCGTTGCAACGAAACCGTCAACGTTGTATTTGTTCTTGAACATCCTAACCTCGGCTCTTTAAAGATCACTATCACCTTTGAATTTTCGGTTTCATAGACGACTTAAAGGACAACGAAATTACCTTCTTTGAGAGTGTAATAAGTGCAAACAGAGGATAGTTTACTACAAGTGAATTGTTAATATGAATCCACAAGGGCGATGAAACTTTGAAACTATTCCATTCCAGTTAAGTCTCGAATCTGCAGATTCATCTATCAAATTTTGAAGCCCACTAAATATGTTTTTTTCTATGATTTGCGTCGCTGTCATTCCGTTTAGTGCTTCTACTCGTTTTTCCTTATAATTTTGTTAAGCATAATTTGGAATTGAAAATGTCGTCGTTTTTCCCCTTGTTTACTAAATATTCTTCTCAATCATGACAGTACATCTCTCTTGAGCACCACCTTCTTAGAGTTGCAATGCATTTTGAACGGAGTTATCAGGAGTTATGGCGAAAACATGTAGAAATCAAGCGACCCAAAGACGGAGTTCTTTACGATCAGTTCCCGTTTAACCATGACGTCACCAACGAAACGGTTAGACTGAGGAATAAGACTTGTTTTATTTTGTTTTTGTTTAATTTAATTTTTTTAACGAATAAAGTCGTTCAAGGCTGAATCAAATTAATAGATTTAGAAAGCCGTGCCAAAATCAAGTTGATTGTCATTTTCTTTCGTAGCGAGAGCATGAATTTCTTTTCTTAGTTTTCACCGGCGCTGATCAAAAATTAAAGACATAAAAAAGTGCAAACCCGAGCTATTCTCAAATTTTTTTTTATCTCTGACTTCAAATCACAGAACACTTTTTAATCACGGTTAAAACGACAATGACAACAAATAACACTGGATAATACAGTAGGTAAGCTTTGTGTTGTTTCATTTTGATAAACTTCAACATGAAGCAAGTTTCGTTTACTGATGAATTCACGATAAAATTAACAGCATCCCATTCTTAGAGTTTTTATACAGGGTTTAAGAAATGTATCAAAGAAAACCCCCTTACGTTGTTTAAAGCCTAGCTCAATTACGAAAAAAGGTAACTGAGCGTGAAATCTTGGATCGCTTGCTAACGAACGTGTTTCCTTTCGGGAATCCAGAATTAAAGTAGCGGTAAATTTTCACAAATACACCGAATAAAACAAAGAAAGGGACCTGGTTATCCTAGAAATGAGTTCTGAAATAATTCCAAACAGTATTATCTCGTTTATAAGTGCACAATTAACGCAAATCCTAGGCGTTTTGATCGCGACGGGAAAACCAGCGAAATGACGTCCTGAACATGATGGGGAGAGTGGCAACGCTAACAAGGGAAGTCGAAATAGAGTCGTGTCCAGATTAACCGCGCGCTTTCCTGTTCTGAAATGACGTTCCCGTCCTCTTGCTAAATCACTCTAATGTTGGTTTGCGCAAGGTGTGCCCTATTACTAACTAATAAATGGACCTCATTAGGTACGAACAAGTGAGGTGAAGGTGCACCTTTTCTTTTCTTGGTTTCTTCCATTTTATTTCTTCTCCCAGCACTGCTGGGGACAGTGAAGGATTTTGTAACCACGGGCTGTCTTTTAGATGCAGATTTTCGTCTCTCAAGAGACCCTCTAGGAGTTAATCAAAAACATATTTTAGCTGTTATTTCCTTCCAAAGAAATGAAATGCGTATTCAAAATGATACAGTAATTCTTTTTAATCTGTATGTATAGGGCCAAGGAGGCCTTCCAACTACTTCTATGAGGTATTCGATCGTACAATTGGAACGGGAAATTATTCTTTCAACAAATTTATCACGATTTTTCGGCGGGTTTCAACAATTTTAAGATTTTTTTTACAAGTTTTCTGTGATTCAGAGGCACTTGGGTTGAAATCCTCAAGGGGAATGTTGATTTTGATTTGTTCCGCGTCAGCGATAAATGCTTATCGCCCTTCTTTAGAGCGCATTCCAAATTCATCGTAAAACTATAAGCAAATGAAAAAAGAAAAAAAACGGAAAATCAGAGAGAAGGAAGATATCGCAAGTACCCAATAAGAATTTTAAGTAAAAACAAGCAATCTTCGCGAAGGGCAGAAAAAAGCGAGAGATCTCCGGGCTAATTATCGAGCGAAGTAATGCAAACTAATTCAGGGTAATTTATCATTATCAACCGAGTTGATAACGTGAATTGGCCGCCTTAAAGGATTTCAAGCTGCCGTTTCGAGCATTAGCCCTTCGCTCTGACGAGGGGCTAGCGCTCGAAACGCAAGCTTTAAACTCTTTACGGTGGCCAATTTACGTCATCAACTCAGTTCATAATACTTAATTACCTTGCTATACCCTCCCGCTGAAACAGCACCACAGTTTCTTTAAAAAGTTACCCCCTTTCTTCAAAACTAATTCAGTTGCTTTAGACAGGAAACGTTCTCTAAATACCTTGCTAGCGTTTCTTTCAACTTAGCAAGGGGCATGTCATCATCGACATCTATAAGAAGACCCTCTGACTTGATTTTTTCTTTCCCCGGCGCTCTATCTTTTTCGTTTTTCTTTTTCTCTTTCCCTTCCTCGTGTTGCTCTTCTTCCTCGTCATCCTCGCTGTCACTGCTGTCGTCATGTTTGGACTTCAGATACTCTTCCCACTTGTCTGGCTGGAAAATCAACAACAGCCTTTAATGTTAATACACTTTAATTCAAGTAATAATAATGTTCACAATGATGGCAATAAAAAGCGAAATTAAGCAATGGATGTTCCACAAGGTGGCCCTTCTTAACCACTGTTTCCAGGTCGAACCGGAATTTAGAATGTAGGATTTAGTGGAGGTAGGAAAACCAGAGGACGTGGAGAAAACCTCCGGTTACTAATGGATTGCGCATCTTGTCAAACTTTGGTTTAATTTTTCAAGCCCTCCATTTCCAATATATCCGTTTTCTCTTCATCCATGGCCAGCTTTGTCCCTACTTGCGTTTTTATTGTCTCTTCGAAGATTTTTTTAATTGTTTCTCTCTTAAAACTAATATTTCTTTTTCTCCCTCAAGTGGAGGAAATTTTCGCAACGATTACTCTAAATACTACAAGGCATTGTGTTGGTAATTTATTTTTACTTTGTTAAGCTAACTTACTTGAAATGTCTTAACGAAGACATCCATGCAAATCTTAACGGTGTCCTTTTTACACATACACTGAAAGAAATCAAATACAAGGTTACCAATGTCAAGGAAGCCAATTTGCAGCTCGATACAAGGTTAAAATCCCAGAAAGGGCACCCTTACAAAATAAAAAAAAAATTACCAAAGACGATCATCAGAACTATTGAGGAAAGAATCACGGTATATCCCCACTTCTATGCTCTTTTTTGAGTTTTCATAACTCTGTCCTACTAATAAGATAACGAAAGTAAATACATAACATAAGAGTATTGTAAAAAGTCTACTACTCACAACTTGCGCTTTCTTTCCAAAATCAATCCATCTTTCAGACGCAAAATTCGTCGACTCAGCACAGTTAAAACCATTGTTAAAACCACAGTGATAGCCATAAGGAAAGGTGATCATAAATTCGCCAGCTTCTTGTGTTATCTGAAAACGAACAAGGTATTTCAGATTTCATTGAAAAATAGGTACATCTAAATAGAGGTGTATATAATCACTTGCTTTCGAGTGCAATTTGGGATAAATTGGCACAAGTAAATTTTTCAGAGGCTAACCAAATTACTAACTTATCTTAAATTGCATGATATAAACAATTTGGTTATTTGTTAATAATATAAGAGCAAAAATTTCTGTTTTCCAAACTAGTTGTGTTTAGATCGTGTCATGGCTCACTGATTTGGCCGTATGGCTTTGCATTGTTGTCGGAGTAGTCGGGCTCTTCCTTTAAGAACTTGCTTTGAGCTTTTAAAATCTGTTACGAATAATAGAGCATTTGTACTCTTTCTCTTATAGGTATCGTTCAATAGCAGTAACCATTACACGAAGGCTGTCAAGCTCGTAATCTTCCCCGTCTTTCTTACGAAATGTTGTGAAAAACTCCGCTGCAATTTTGTTCAGGGCCTCCGTCCTAGCCACTTTTGGAAGCCCACGACTTCCAGACCTTAAGCCGGTTTATTGTGCTCTGTTAGGTGTTGTTTGTTACTAGCATTCTCCTTCAAACTCTAGGTTAAAATGTTGTTTCTTTCTCCTACCTGTCCGCCATCTTTTTTTTTTTTTTGACCACTCGAGACTTTCTCGTCAATGAATTCAATTTCAACTGTTTTTACCAAATCTCAACTTCTTGTACTGTTTAAGATTAATTAACGCGTTCTCAACCACTGCATATGCTGAATTTTTTGCGCACACATTACTATGAAGAGAATGCCTTGAAATTACTTCCAAACTTTGCTTTGCAGACGAAGTCCTAGGCGCTCAAAAGGTGGATATGTAATTGTTAAGATACCTTATCATATGGTATTGAAAACTTTCTAAGCACTTGGGGTGAGATAATAGTCATCTTGTGTCTAAGAAACTGGGAACAGCTTTGAAAGCTTCCGGGAAAGAAACCTGTGGGAAAAAAGTTGGAAAGCATAAAGATTGAAGGTTAAGGCTGGCTACAGTCTATATTTATTACTTATATGGGAAAGCGCAGAATCTAAAATCTTTGCAATTCTATCCATTACCCATTTCCAAACCTGCCGTTTGATAACTTTTCACCGCGCCTTTTTCTCAAATTCGATACTGTCACGTGAGTCACGTCGATGTGTGACAGCAGCCTTATCACCTTACTGTCGCACTTTAGTAGTGCAGGAAAGACCACAGAGGATATCGAAGAGAATTTTGGTCCCGAAGTTTGACGGAAATTGCTTTCCTTACATGCTCCAACTAGAAGAATTCCAAGGCGAATTTTGTCAAACGAACAAATGGTAGCCCAGAAATTAAACGGATGGGGGGGAAGAGGGCTTATGTTCGACATTTTTCGGCCGAAAGGACCAAATTTCCTCTCTCGTTACTTTTGCACCATACTGTAAAGGGTTCTATACAGCTTCGCAACTTAACTACGAGCACTCCAGTTTTTCCCCTCAATGCCAATTTTTTCTCTTCTTCTGGTGAGAAAGATCGGGTGGAAGTACGAGGAAAAGAAAACAGATGAGAAGAGTTATAATCAGGGATTTCAGTAACTTTTTCTGCCGATGGTGTAATAGGCAGCTGTGCCCAATAAAGAGGCCGTAATGCGAAATCTAAACACGTTTACTTACCTGCAGCAAGTCTTTCCAAGCGCTGGCCATGTTCGGGAGGGATTGCATACCTGAAAAATGTAGAAAAAAATCAGACTAATGTTGTCAATATTTACGGTGTGTTTGATTCCCTTCTTTCAATAACCCTTTTCACAGTAGCCACAATAACACCGCAAAAGCCTATTACTGAGGACATGTACATAACATTTTCCCCAATAAGCCTTGATCATCATTTGTTAACAAACATTTCAGTAACTGAGTGAGTTCTCACCAAGTCTTTGGAGCTCCAAAATGTAAGTAGTTTATACTGTAGAGATCCATATCCTCAGTATGCCATGCAAATGTAGCTTTCCACATCCCAAAGTACAAATATGGGGTGTTTACTCCCTCAATATGGACTCCATATTGATTCTTGATCAAATCAAGAATTGTCCCTAATCTTCCTATGTTCCATTCTTTCACATCCTTGTCGTACACTGTGCCGGGAATATCAGCTGCGTAAACTGGGTTGTTGAATGTCACGTTTTTCCAGTATTTTCTTTCAATCTCATCTTGATCTCCCATGGGAGGTCTGTGCCTGAAAACAAAGATACAATGGAGTTCAACAAGACTTAGAATGTAAAAGTACTTGTTGAGAGTGAAAAAACACTCAGCAGCTCCAGTGAGCTCCACTCATTTCCCCATTATGGGAGGTGTAGGGCACCCATGTTTCACTTAGTCCTACCCCCTCAAGGACACCTCTTTTCTGGAACCATATGGATTCCATTCAAGGTAACTCACTGATTCAGGAAAGATCACTGAGGGTGTTGAAATTATTCAAACACATCTAAACAATTGTGATGGAGTAATTTGACTTGGCAAACCCAGCTTTGAAGGGGGAAGGGGAAAGGAATTAATCTCAACATATCCAGATTAAAAGTCGTTTACAAAGGCCACTCGTCAGACAGGTTCCAAAACTAGACCCAGTATAGGTGACAGAGGAGTGAAAAATTAGGTTCTATCACTTCCTGACAAGCTGACAAAAAATTCCAGATCAAAATGACCTCATTTTAAAGAGATTGTGTCCTCTTCTCAGCACTTGTGCGCCAACTCTACAAAACCTCATAAGTTCCAACATCATAAAACTTATTTTAAATGTATCTCCTCACACCAACATGTACCTTTCACTGTTGGCAAGTTTCTTGAATTCACTAAAAGACATTGCCTTCTTCTGCACATTGAACAGCTGGAACAGTCCTTTGAAATAAGCAAGACATAACATACACTACTCAGATGGTTCAGTGTAATTATCATATTCCTTAACAAATGAAGATTAATGTCAAGCAAAGTAGGAATACCTCTGATTGACAGAAACCTTTGTAACAGCAACAGATAAAAAATGATCTTTGGCACAGTTGTGCAAACTATTAATGGTGAATCCTTATGATGTAATAGACACATTTTTTCAGTCCTTGGGCAAAACTGGCTGTCTTGAAAATAAAATAATGGATTGCAAAAGTCAACCAAGTAGAAGAAAATGTAAAAACCTTCCACATGGTTGAAAATGCAATGAAAAATAAGAAATACCAGCTGTGAACATTATGCAAGTTCAAAGGATTTTATTCATTCATTCCTTAAAAACTTCTTGGACTGTTGCATATCCTTTGCTTTTTTCCATTCCTCTCTTGCAAGTTACTCTAATACTTTATGATTTCAATCCTGTACAAACCAAGCCAAACTACATGTAACTAAATGAGTGAAAAATTGTAAATCACAGGACATTCTATATAAGCCTCAATAACTTGCTAGTTGCTCTCATACAATGATCTAAGGTGTTTGAGTTGAAATTTTACCCAAGATGTCAAGTTCCAAGTGATGACATTGTATGGTGTACTTAAAGAAGGTTTAAAGCGAAGGAACTTTTGAAATCAGTTGTCACATTAGTCACAAAAATCAAAACAATCAATGGCAATTGGTGAGTTTTTTCTCAAATTTAAGAGGTACACATAAATCAAGCCCTGTGTGTACCATAATATCAAACCAAGTGAAATACAATGAATCCAAAACTGGAAAGCCATGTGACTACCTTAAGTTTAATTAAAGATATAATAATCTGTGAACCTTGTGAGGTCATAAAAGGTGACTCGTGTTGACTAGGTGAAGATCATGGTGAAAAATTTTATGGTAGGTGGTTTTAGTGTCAAGTTTCCACACAAATTATTGCACATTCTTTGCCTGATCTAATCTGCTGACTGAAGCAAATGGTGAGGTTGTGCAAGCAAATCAGTCCAATTTACTCGCCAGCTAGCTCTTAAAAGCTGTCCTGGAAGGAGTGACCATTTTTCTCAGTATGATGTTAAAAAAAGCATTGGTTTGATATTGTTGCCCTACAACTGTACAGAGAGACCACAGTAAAAATTTTATCAAACATCAGTTTCTTTTACAAGTAACACAGACAGAAACTAAGTACTTTATTCCAAGTACTTACAAAAAACTTGTGACATTGTTGATCCAAACAGTATACAGCAGCTATGTTGCCTACAAAACCAGGGCTCAACATAAAAGGCCAGTTATTTACTCAAGGTCTTACCCAAACAATGGTTTTACACAGTCTGTGGGCTTTCACTATAAGAGGATTGATTTAATGAACTGAATGTCCACCCACTGTTAGCTTTTGACCGTCTTGACACAGTTCACAAAAATAAATGTTCAGATAAAAAGTTCAGCTAAATCAAGTATTGTTAAGGATGCAGTATTGTTAAAAAAAGACTAAACTTTGTTTAAATAACCTGCCTAAAGTCTCTACAGCTCAGTGGTAAAGCATCAGAGCACAGAATCGGAAAGTCTGAGTTTAAACTTCTCACAACTTTTTTTTTATGTCACGTTTGAGGCAACACAAAAAAAATCTCCTTTACAGATGCCCCCATCTTAATGTGATGGTTACTTAGAGATAAAGGACTCTTTGATCAGTAACTTCAGTCTTTTGTCTTTTACAAGGTTTAACAAAAGCCAAATGGAACTTTTTTTGGATGACATCACCTCCGCATCATTACACTGACATACAACCCTTCTCCGCTTTCATAAATATGGTAAAGAGTTAGAGGAAAGTAGCCAAAGGTTAATTGTCATGATGAATGATTAAGCTCAAAATTAATAAACAATACCTGAATTTTACAGATAGGCAAGGGAAGGTGAGATTTGAAGTTTTTCCTTTTAAATTTGTGAAGCATGAAATATGGTTTGAAGTACAAGTGACTTGTTTATTTTCTAAATTTGTGGGTGAAATAGGATTAGCCCCTTAAAGATTGAATTTAGCGCTTGACTTCAAAGGTAGCTTTTTCACTTTCTCCACGCTAGACCCTAAAATCTTCCAGTTCCTCTTTCACAGGTTTCTAATCAGTTAACCATCAATACTTAGCAGCAATTTCATAGCTAAAAATTGGCACGTGACGATCGGAAAAGGTGGGTCTATAACCTTTGTTTCCACATTTCTAACCTTTAAGGTAAATCGGAAATAATTATTAACGGGTGGTAATTAAAACTCTTAACACAAGTCTTGAAATAAGCTACTTTTTGGTCACCACAATGGAATGTTTCACTTTGCAATTTAAATTTCTTCAGGATTACTTTTGTGAGGTTTTGATGACTTCGCTAATTAACAATAGGAACTAATCATCTACAGATGCTGCGGAAATGAGGCACAAAACCAGTTCGTTGTCGGAAGAAAACGTGGTTTGCATTTTAAAAACCACGAGTTCACTGATACCCATGGATGCTAAAGTTAACTGTGAACAATAACACAATCATAGACCTTGGTAGAAAGTATGTAAACACCTTTTGCAGCGCCTGTTAAACGCAAGTGAGTTGTTTTTGTTTCGCTCTTAAGTATTAAATGCTTCATTGAACCTGGCAGCAAAACATTTCAACAGAACGCAGTTTTCTGCAATTGCCTGTGTGACAATGAAACTGTAGCTAAGTCCTGACTTTTCACTCATATTCTAACATATGGCTGAATACAAATTTATTGTCGTGTATGAAATTTCGAACTTTACTTGCTATCTAGTGTCAAACAATTAAGACTTATATTTTGCGCCTATGAAAATAAGCTTAGCTTACTGTCACGGAACCATTTCTGGTTCTCGTCTTTGTCGAGTTAAAAGCTCACTCTCACCTCGAGCCGACATTTCCTTCTTAATGGAGAATTTGAATTCGATAGTGAAATTTATCATGTCTCTTGTTTAGAGAAAATGGACCACTAAGCTTACTATTTTAGCTCACTAAGTTTTTCTTTCAGTACACCTTGGATTTCAACCTACCTTGAGTTCCAGTTACAACTTGTAATATTGGCGCCGGAATCATAGTGTCTATGTCTTCATAACTTTTACGAGGAACCCATTCTTTGGGAGGTATGACCTGAATATAATTCAAAGAGAACAAATACCTTCACAAGCTGTTTATTAACTCGGTGTAGTCTTGCTATTTTTCACCACGTGTGTTCAAACTGGACGCTTTGTAAACAAACGAAAGCTTTAAAATAAAGAAAGGTTCAGGCCGGTTTTATACCGCTAACCTTAGCAACACCAGCTCGATGAGCTCCCATCTCTTCCATCTTACGAATATAAGCGGAGAAATCCGCAAACTCTTCCAAAGTTGGACGAAACACCATAATTTTGTTCCCCTCTCCTGAAGCCATCTTTCGTCCTTGGGTTTTGTATGCACAACTCAACTGGTCCCTCAGATTTCTCAATTAAAACCACTCCAATCCGCGGATTAAGTTCGAGGGCCTACATAATTACGTTTCCTGCTTTTCATTGCGACGTGCCAAATGTAAGGAAACGCTGAAAGTTTTTCGTTTCGCCCACAGAAACTTTTTTTCTCTGTGATGTTTCTTTGTTCGCGGCTTTCTGTTGTGACATGAGCAACTTGACGTATTAGCCACGCCTCCGATCAAAAATCTTCCCTAGTGGGGATGGGAGGGGATCAAAACAACTCTGAGGAAACACTGGGAACGACACGAACCGTGTAATGAGGAACCGGTAAACAAAGCGCTGGAGTGCAGCAGGTGTGAAAGTAAGACTCGTTTCCAAAACGTTTCCTCGGCTTTTCTGCAAGCGAATCAAGCGGATCGTGTTGAGGAATAGATGTAGAAAAGAAAGAGCTAAAATGGCCGCCAGTGCGGTCAACTCTCACCGCGTACCCAGGTAAGACGTTCTTGACAGCGTTCGAAACTAAACAATTTAAAAAGTGGTGATTGTCTCCAGTTTGTTTTGTAAATTTTAACTTAATTCGACATGGTTGGTGACTTGAAGTCGTTTCTTTGAGAAGTCGTTTCTTTTTAGCTTAGGATAGAAATCCTTGATATCATGTCAGCATTTTGACAGCGATAAAACGAACTTGCTAAAAGTGGAATTTGCAGATAAGCGACCTGTCTCTGAACTTTCGTTCACGTTTTCCTGGATGTATTTTGTGTATTATGGTTGTCATGCAGGATCCATCACATTCAATTAGTTAAAAAATTCTGCCTTTGACCATTTGTTTTCCTTTGTATCTCAAACAAATTTTGACAGTGCGCTCAGCAGACGAAACGCAAGCCCGTTAATTAGATTATCGATAAGAGGGGAATCGCGGGCGTAAATTGTCAATAACCCTTGTGGAATATAAATGTAAAATATCAAATGCTGGCATTTGTGTTTTACTTACTTAATATAGACAGAGAGGAGATCAATAGTTTATTTTAATTATCAGTTGCTTGGAATTTAATAGGCTCAAATCTACTGCTTATGACATCCAAAATGCACCTCTTTTCAAAGAAAGAAATGGTTTGGAGGCATTCTAAATGTATCTTGATGTAAATTTTTTCTCTTTTCTCATCCTAAGAGGACTTTTGTCATCTCTAATTCTTTTGCATGGAATTCTCATGTGATATGATAAAGAGAAAAATCAAATCAAGCCCAATTTATAGCAACATCAGAATGATTGTATTCACAATTAAGAAGGGGTATGCAATGCATTTGGCATAGAGGGCATACTGCCAAACTCAATCATCAAGACTGTAAACATTAACATAATCAGAATCATTTCAAAATGATCTTAGATTTTCATGTGATTGTGATGATCATGTGTCACAGTGGCATCATGAAATCTATATGCCCATGGATGGTATTGAAACAGCATTTTCATGTCCATTGCTGTGCTTAGGAATTTGGGGCTGGTATTCTTATGATTGTAATGATGAACATGTGTCACATAGAATCTATAGCTTATGGATGGTATTGAAACAGCATTTCCATGTTCTTTGCTGTGCCTAGGAATTTGGGGCTAGTATTATTCTCAGGTGGCGTGGACATGTGCAAGGCATATTTTGCAGCCTTGTACAAGTCAATACCACTTGCTCATGTGAACAACCCTTAAGTAATGACTTTACTGTGGAAAAGAACTGAAGTCTGCTAACTGATTCTTAAGACTGGAAAAGAATAAAAATAGAAACAGCATCTTTAAAATTAAAAAAACAAACAAACAAACAATTGGGAGACAAATCCAAGTCTTTCCCAGAAGGGTAATAGGTGCCATGATTGCTGGATGATAATTTTTTGTGGGAGATGTTTTGTTAGGTGGACTATGGGTCAAGAGGTTACTGTTCTGAGACATAGCCAGGTGTTTGTCTTGTGTTTCTGGGCAAGACACTTTAATCTCCTTGTCTCTCTCTCCACCCAGGAGTATTTTGTACTGGATTGTAAAAGGGAAGGGTGCTAGAGGGGTCCTTGGTTGGAGTGCTAGAGCAAAGGATTAGTTAGAGGAGTCCTGGGGTGCCTGTGACCCTCCTTTTGTAAGCCTTTTTAGTCACATTGAGTAAAACACTCTGTGAAGGTTGACATGATAATCTGGTGAGTACCCTCTGTTTGACAAAGTGTGATCCCTCCTTTGAAAAATCCAGTCAATGCCTGTTTATTGTGCCACAATTTTCACCCAGTATATAGTTTGAAATCATTTGTTAAACATCCTCATGGACTTGCAAAAGATCCTCCAAAGATTCTCCAAAGAACCTAGCAAAGTTCTTTGTGAGGATCCTTCAAAATCCTCAAGGGCAAAAAGAGGGGTTTCAAATTTAAAATAATTCACTCTAAATTGTTTACAGTGGTGATGTGGATGAAAAAGTGTTAGCTGATGCCATTAAGATGACAAATATTGCTGTCAACCTGTGTTTGTCAAACAAGTTCCTTCAAGCACAAGCTAAACTGGAACCATGGTAATCAACAGTGTACCTTACTCTAAGCAAATTTTAGAACTTGAATTGGCCCTCAGATTGTCCATACAATACTGGGATCAATGTCAGTATCTAAGCAACTGCCCACCAACCCCTCCCCTAACCCAACATGAAACCCTAACTTGTTATCAATTGACTGATGTTGGGTTAGGGGAGGGGTAGGTGCATGGTTACTCAGATACTGACATTGATTTGGGTACTGCATCATCAATAAGGCTTTGCATTTGAAGCTGAACTAATTTTGACTCTGGCACAAAATTTGGATGCTTTTACAGTGTCATTATTAAGACCAAGTAGAAGTTTTGCAGATACCAGAAATGAAAGGTGAAATTGAGATTAATCCTCATTTTCTGCAAAATTCAATGGAAATTCTTGGTCAATGTTTGTGATAAATTTCACCACTCAATATGTAGCCTTTGGGAGGTTTTTTAAAATTTTTTTGCAGATTGATGAGATGACTTGATACTTTCTTGATTAATTTTAGGATAAATGAAAGCATGTACCATGCTCTTGGTTACAGCACCATCATGTATCTCCAGGCTATGATGACATTTGAACCTGTGAGTACTACATAATTAATTATCAGAATTCATGAATTCAAGACTCCAACTTCTGTTGAATTTGTGCTTTTTAAGGGTGACTAGTATCTAATTTCTCTATTACATAAATTATCTCAGTGACAGTACTGAATGGAACATCAAGGTTATGAGAACACAGGAAATAACCACCCACTTAAGAGACTTGTGATTGTTAAACAACTTCTCCTTATCAATAACACAGGAAAAGTATAGAGAGTAGTATGGAGAATAAGCATATTGATGTTAGGGCATAAAGGGTTAACTCTTTGAATCTCTTGGTTACTGGACTCAACATTTAACTTCTTGTTACAATACATTATTATATATTAATAAAATAAATCATCTAATAAACAGGCACTGAGAAATCCATGAAAAACTTATCAGGGAGTGGACAGTTCCAAATTATCTTCAGTTGATAAACTGTTCCATTAAACTTACTCTCTTAAGATCTCACAAGTAACCCCCTTCGTGATGAGGAAAGAAATGACAAGGACACATCCAAACCAGTAGCTAGACACTTTAATCTCTCAAATCATTCTAAACAACATATGGCATTTTGCAGCCTTTCTTTACATCTAGGCAATTCAGAAAGCCGCAAAACACTAGAACAAAAATTTATCTTCCAAATTGGCACTCTTCATCCCCACGGTATCAACAAGCACTAATTTCATTCAACTAATTTATTCTTGTTTTTTCTGCCTTTAGAAACTGACCCCCTTTATTCAGTTCTTCTTACTGTCTGCCAAAAAGTTCTCAAGATGTTGTTTCAGTGAATTTGGTATTGGATCAACAAATAATCCCTTCCAGAAATAATTATTTTCTTTACTATTGTTACCTGGCCTGTCTGTAATGATTTTGTAACAAGAGGTTATCTCTGGGTCTCTCATGGGAATTTAAGGGTTAAGTTCCCTTAGCCCTTTTACTTTTACCCAAAAGTGATTAACAAGTAACTTCTCCCTATATTATCCTCATATTGTCTAGCCAACAGGTAATGAGAATACTCAAACTTATCAGGTAGAAGTTGTTTTCTTGATCTAACACCAAATTCTTGTAACTAATTTACAAGAAAATGTGTAGCAGCTAGAGGGGAGAATTAACAATCAGATCTTGGGAGTTAAAAGGTTAAACTTATTTACAAGGAAGTGTACAGCAGCAAGAAGAGAGGATTAATTGAAGTAAAAAGGGGTACATGGCAATAAGATCTCTAGAAAATTCCACTAAGGAAAATGTATTTTTGCAATGAAGACTCTCTAGATGTTGAAAATTTCATTAAAAAAATACTTAATAGCTCAAGGAACAGAAAAAGTTGAGGGTAATTGAATCATTGTTTTTTTTCATAATGATATATCTATTATTGATTTGAATTTTCTGATTTTCATTCATTTTATTTAGCAAGCTATACAGCAAGCAAGTAACAGCAACAAACTTGCTCTAGATGTGTGTGAACGGTAATGATTTTAACTCCTTTTTTTGTTCATAATTTTAAGTTTTTAATTTTTACAATCTGATATACATATATATCTTCTTCAGACTTCCAAATATTTATATATATATATATATATATATATATATATATATATATGAATTTTTTATTAATCAATGGCCAGCCTTTTAGGTAAAAAGGATTTTCAGACACAACAATAATGAAGTGTAGTATGACAAAATTGGGCAGTGGAAGTCATGTTAATGGATTTGAAAATTGAAATTTTAAGATTTAATTTGAAAGAAAAGGGAGAAATAGGAAATGAAAGAAAAAGATAACTAGTGAAGCCATGAGAGGGGAAGAACAAAGGAAGTTATGGAAGGAAGGAAGTATCAGTGGTTGTTAATGAGAAGGAAGGAATCAAGAAAGAGAGGGATGGAAAGTGGGAGGGGACTGAAATATGAAGGAAGAAAGAGTTGAAGAAGTTGGAAGGAAGTAACAGAGGGAGGAAGGAAGGTGCAGGAGGGAGGAAGGAAGGTGCAGGAGGGAGGAAAGAAGTTGCAGGAAGGTGGGGAGGAAGGGAAGTGGGTATGGGGGTAGGGAGCAAGGATGGAAGGAGACCAGGAAGAGGGACAAAGTGTGGCTAAGTCAGGCAAAAGGCCCACACCACTGTCCAGTAGTTATGCCAATTTTCTTAGCATGAAGCTACTTGGATTGTTGCTACTACCCCAGGATGGGATGCTTGTAAATTGCAAGAAGAAGGAAATAATAATCATGGTTATTTTGATGTACTCTGTAATGCTAGAGTGTAATTTATTTCTGACCTTTTTTCATGTTTTGTTATTTTTTTTCTAGATACAGAAGGAAGCACACATGGACAGAGTCATTTACCAGCTGGATTTGGAATCCATCCTATGATAATTTAACAGAAGGTACTCTCTCTTGCACTGTTCTTGTTTTAGTTTTCTACCTTCATTATAATGTTTCACAACAGGACTGGCCCTATTTTTGATATGTTTTGTATTCATTCTAGTGGAAAGACATGCTGAGCTGTGCTATGCCGAGTGTTTATTTATGAGGGCATTACTCACATTTATTCAGGTATAGGTAATTATTGATCAACTCTATTTCACTCTCAGTAAATATTTAACATCTGTTTACCAAACTGGAGTTGGCTGGTGGTGGATGTTTACTGAGCCGCAAACAAACTCATAAATATCTCACACCACTAGCTACCAACACTGAAATGAACAGTGGTTTCAGTTCATACTAAAACAGTGAGCCAACAGAGGAAAAAAGGATGATTTTGACTCATTTATTCCTGCAATTATTGAAATATTTTCAGGAGCAAATCCCACTTGCCAGTTGCAGGGAGGTGAATAATAAACAATTACTTCACAAGTGCTCATTGAATATGAGATAATAGATAGCCAACAAGGCCCATAGAGCCATTAGTTGACTAAATCATGTCATATTCAACAAGTGCAAGTGGAATAGGTAATTGTTTTGCTAAAAAACCCTATAATATAGATAAATTTTCCCAACTGCATTGTTAAATACCAAACTGAATTCACCCAGTGTACCTATCATATTTTTAGAGCATGTTGTATTGGCCCAGAACACATGATGGCTAAGCCAATGAAAATTCTTGAATTGCAATATCCAATGATCCAGATTTTAATAACAAAGAATATTCAGTGTTTTAATAACCAATCAGAGGGCATCTTCAATGCCATCCACTGTTTTAGTTTATACTAAACTCAACTGTATTCATCAGAAATAAACCATTATAACTTTATAATCACATGATGAATAGAAATCTGCTGGTTTACTGTAGGAAGTCACTAACCATGAACAACAAATTAGCATGTCTGTCTGGAATGACTCTTATAAATTTCTCATCAGGATGAAAATCTGGTCAGCTTCATTCGCGGAGCTCTAAAAATCAGAAGTGCTTATCAAACTTACAAGTAAGTTTTGGATTCAATTTTGAATCATAACAATGTATTAATTCATTGAAGATAACTTTTTGCACAGCAATTTTTATTGCAGACCCATATGATTTTATAATTTCTTTTGTTGATTTATATATTGTGATATTTCTCTAAAATCAGGACTTGCCTGGACATGGTTGCCCATCAGCCATCATCTCTTCAGCATTCACCCCAAAGAAAGGACTTTGAAGGAGGAGTTCACCTTGGCATTGGAGGATTTAATTTGGTGAGTCTACAGAAACCTAAGTGAACTTAATTTTGTCACCCCATTAAAAATTATCATCAAGATCTTATTGTTTCAACTGGTATGTTATGTCCATTCTAAAGCTATGAGTATTTGGAAGTGCTTCCGGTTGCCTTCAATGCTAGACTGTGGATTTAGTTGATTGTGTCTTGTGGTGCCTCTATCTGTGCACCCATGATTAGTAGGGACAAACTGTTGGAGCAGTTCAGAAAGTATTATGCTGGAAGTGGAAGAGAGATAGACCACTTTCCATTTCAGGAAGCACAGCAATTTTCCTTGTCACTTCATATTGAAGAAGCTAGGATGAGTCTTCCTCAATAGTAGATTTTCTTATGGAGGCTGCCAAAATAACATTTTTGTTACAGAATGTTAACATGTTGACATTTTAATTGTCTTCTTTTAGATGTTGTCCCTACTTCCTGCAAAGATAATCAAGTTGTTAGAGTGGGTTGGTTTTTCAGGAGACAAGGTAATACTGCCTTTCTTCAGACTGAGTCAAAATCAAAATCCAAATCCTTAGACTACAAAGATAATCTTTCAAAGAGCCAATTTCAGTTGTGTGGAAACTAAATGCAGTTTTGTACTGCCTTTTGCTTAACTTCAATGTGAAGTTTTAAAAGCTTACTTATTATATACTCAACAAAATATCGCGTTTCTGATTGGTCAATGATGAATGCATAAATAGGTTATAGAGTGCAATAGAGGTTATAGAGTGCAATACGGAGAAGTTGCCATGGAAACACCGGGGAAGCGCCAAATTTGAACACCAAATTATAAAAAAATCGAGAATATAATAAATAAAAAATCGTACGAACCTGCTCGTGCATTTCGTGATTTATGGTCACTCGTGATGTTTTGAAAGTTCTCAAATTGCACTCGCCTACGGCTCGTGCAATTTTGAGAACTTTCAAAACATCATTCGTGCCCATAAATCACGAAATGCACTCGCGTTCATACGATTTCCTATACTTATTGAGTTCTTATAGACTTTAAAATGTGATGTCACTTTTGATCACTTTTGTATTCATTTCAGTTAATATATAACACTCAATCAAAATGCCATACAGGTTTCAACAAGTAATTTCATTTTGAACATGTCAACTCCCCAGAGGTGATTTACACAAAACATGATCAAGTTCTACAACCAGATGTTTGGAGTGCAATAACGTCAACCCTTTACACCCTAACATCAGTATGCATTTTCTCCATACTGTTTTCTATACATTTCCCAAGGCGCTGACAAAGAGAATTGGTTTATCAATCAAGAGAATATTTAGTTGATCCTTCCCTTTATTCTCATGACCTTACTGTGTGATGCAGGGGTGATATTGTAAGGAGAAATTAGATGCTAGTCACTCCTAGGGGTTAAAGGGTTAATCCAGCTCTCAGTAGAGGGCATTATTTGGATATATAACTTAGTTCTCATAACTTATCTACATGAAGATGTGTAGTAATAAGAATGAAGAATTGATTATCAATTGTTGAAAAAACCCAACTATGAGATGTGACTCCCATTTTATGACCAGTTTTTAGGTCTGGATCATTTAGACCAAGGATGCAGAGACCAGAACTTAAGATCGCCCATGTGTGCCATGGTTCTGCTCGCCTATCACAGTGTAATAACTTATTACCTTGGTAAGTGGTCAGATTTATAACTTATAACCTTGATAAGTGGTCAGATTTATAACTTATTAGCTTGGTAAGTGGTCAGATTTATAACTTATTCGCTTGGTAAGTGGTCAGATTTATAACTTATTGCCATGGTAAGTGGTCAGATTCATAACTTATTACCTTGATAAGTGGTCAGATATATCAAAAGAATTGTCTTAAGATGTTTTCTGTATGACTACGTTTGTGCCGCTTTGTGGTCAGATTTATCGATACAATTGTCTTAAGATGTTTACTGTATGGCTACATTTGTGCTGCTTTGTGACCAGATTTATTAATAGAATTGTCTTGAGATGTTTACTGTATGACTACATTTGTGCTGTTGTAAAAAGCTGTGAAATTAAGCCAAAAATCGGTTGAAACTTGAGAACGGCACTTGGTGTATGCAGCGTTCAATTTGTGCATTTACTTGACTACTATTCTGCCTGTAGAAGATTATGTTATGAGCAAATAATCTCCCAGCTCTAGCTGATTTCTAAGCACTCTAAGGTCTCTTTTTACGAACTTTAACCAGTGTTTTAGCTGACAGTTGTACCATACAGAAAATCTCACTGTTCCAGGCCTGCGTTTATCTCTCTTTGATGAAAACCATAACATTTTAAGAATGAAGACATTGCAATAGCTTACTACTTGACTGTAGTAATAATACGTTTCTTTTTTTATCGTACAGCGTTGACATTTATCAAAGTAAATTACGTTAATATGAAGACTTCATAAATTCCCATTCATTTTCCATAAACTCAAAAATTACAAACGGACGCAATTTCGTCGGAATCCCTTTTCCTACTGTTAGAAGTAAATTCTCTAACACTCGTTGTTGGTTTGGTTGATTCATCTTTAATTTCTTTTCTTCTCAAGTTGTTACAACAGGGAAAACTAGAGTCTACGCTTATGAAGGTGACACTGCGGATGACATTTCTAAGCCGTCAATCTTCTTGTGTCGTCATCGGACCATCTTAACTAACGAATCACGCTCGACCACGTATTACAGTTCCCACATACTGAGTATGCGCCTTCGAATTGTTTACGCAGTTACAAAATCAATTTCTACCTTAATTTTCATATCTTTACGGTTGAGATCGGCCAGAACAGAAACGAGATCGATAATATAAAAATTACAAAAACCTTGGTTCAGAAATGTGGGTAGAGTTGATCATATTTGCTCCAGTAGTATCTCGCTTTATTCTTGTCTCCTGCGAGGCAGAAAAGCGGTTTAATGAAAACCATATTTTTCATCTTCTCCTTGTTCCTTTCACTCGAAAATTGCCCGATCTTCGGCTAGAACTTTGATTCGATACCCACTGCACTCAGCATGCACATACGTGCAACTGCTGATGCCGTTCGACCAAAACTCGAGTCGGCCATTGTCGCCGCCTTTTTACCTCCGAACCTGTACCTCCGTTTGGGATCATCACTTTCTATATTATGAATCCAGGCTGTTTGACACTTTTTTACGTGAAATCGATTTTCGTCTCTTAATTCCCGGATGGCTTAAAGGACTGAATTAAACGCTGGATCCGTTTGAAGGAAGATTGTCTTTTCTTGCGTCATCTTGTTCCTCGCGATAACAGCGTGACGCGAATAGTTTAGTGAATGTAGGTGCAGGGTTGCTAAAGGGTTTCTGTCATAAATGCTGTTATCTGATTGGCTAAGCTACACTTCATATTGTCCATGATAGATAGTGCGTTGTATGAGTTGCCTAACAGAGTGCGATCGTAAACAATGAACGAGTTGCCAGTAATCCGGGATCCTTGCGTTTGCGATCAAAGGGCTCTTGGAGTCAGCTCATTCATTTCATGGCTTAAGTTTGTATCGATTTCTTGGACTTGTTAGATATAGGTTTGTGAACTTTCAAGACCTATGGAATAAATTCTCTCTTATTTTTGGGCAGTTGTGTGATAAGAAAAATAGTGCACTCGTCATCATGAGAATCGGGAAAAAGGTTGTGTGGGTTGGCGGTAGGATGAGAAGAGGTCATTGGGCAGACTGTGTCCATTTTGTTGGTAGATACGAAAAACGAAGCTTAAGTTGACATTTATCAAAGTAAATTACGACTATTCGTTGTTCCTGAACTCTCAATTTACAAACGGATGCAATTTCGTCGGAATCCCTTTTCCTACTCGGCTCGCGTGGTTATGAATTTCTAAATTTGCCTATTACTAAGACATCAGCTTATCATAAAGCTTACGTTGACATTTATCTAAGTACATTACGATTATATGAAGACTTCATAAATTCCTATTCATCGTCCCTTAACTAACAAATTACAAACGGACGCAATTTCGTCGGAATCCCTTTTCCTACTCGGCTCGCGTGTTATGAATTTCTAAATGTGCATATTACTCAGACATCCAATATTGCAGTACACACAGAATTATTTTTGTATCTATGGTTGTTTGAAGTACAAATAACTATACATACTTCCACCTATACCAAACGATCCTAAGAACTATAATAATTATAATGTTTTCATTATCAGTTTATCTTTTGCTGCTTAATGTATGTTAAATAAGTTCTAGTTTGCGTTTTTCTTTCTGTCTTTCGTACGTACTGTCTACCTCTTGGCCTTTAATTCTTATTGTCTCCCTCGTCCGCTTCGCTTTCATCAGCTTCGCTTTCATCAGCTTCGCTTTCATCATCTTCATCTCCTAGAGGACTTGGCAAATTTTTGGCATCCTCCTCGTTTCTTAACTTTATTACTAGATCAAAGTATTCAACTGAGATGTTAAAGGGCTGCATCAACGCCTTCAAGTGGATGGTGTGTGGTCCGTCTTCACCTTCTCGAATTTCTCGCACAATACAGGCGACATGGACGTAGCTATTGAACCGATGCTTCTCCCTCCGCGTAGCATCAAATGTGGTGGTTATCTCAATCAGCTCCGTGAAGTTGTTGCGGAAAATAAGCATCATACTTGGCATGCTTTTTTGTTGATCGATGTCTAAGCCACTGACTTCATCTTCTATTCGAAAATGGGGATAGAATCGATCATATTGGCTCCAGTAGTGTCTCGCTGTATTCCTGTCATTTGCGAGACAGAAAAGCGGGCTGCTTTGCACTACTCTTTCTACCTTCTTCCTATTCCTAGGATCTGAGTGTAACCCGATTCGCGGCCAAAGCGTTCGCCCAATACCCACGGCTTCCAGCATGCACATACGTACAACTGCTGATGCCGTTCGACCAAAAGACACGAAGTCAAACACGAGCCTATGATCCTCTCGTTGACCATTACTTTCTATATCTGTAATAGAGGCGGTTTGACAGCGTGTTACGTGCAATCGATTTCGGTTTTTTAACTCCCTGGTGGTGGCAAGGACTACCTGAAACGCTGGGTCCGTTTGAATGAAGATAGTCTCTCCTTCCATCCTCTTTTTCCTCGCGACAAAGACGTGACGCGAATAGGTTAGTGAGTGTAGATGCAGGGTTTTTCACAGGCTTTCTGTCACAAATGCTGTATCTGATTGGCTAAGCTACACTTCATATTGTCCAAGGTAGATAGTGAGTAGCATGCGTCGCCCACAGTTATTATATTACTCACATCCTGTGTGTCCGTTGTAGTTTCTGGCGATTTCTGCTGTTTGTATCGATTTCTTGGACTTGTTGGATATAGGTTTGTGAACTTTCAAGACCTATGGAATAAATTCTCTCTTATTTTTGGGCAGTTGTGTGATAAAAAAAATTGTGCGCTCGTCATCATGAGAATCGGGAAAAAGGTTGTGTGGGTTGGCGGTAGGATGGGAAGAGGTCATTGGGCAGACTGTGTCCATTTTGTTGGTAGTTACGAAAACGAAGACCTAAGACTCCCCCCCCCTACGAAGACGAAAACCCATCACGAAAACGAAGACGTCAGTTTCGGTTTCTTCATCTTCATCTCTTAGAGGACTTTGCAAATTTTGGGCATCCTCCTCGTTTCTTAAGCTCATTACTTGATCAAAGTATTCAACTGAGATGTTAAAGGGCTGCATCAACGCCTTCAAGCGGATGGTGTGTGGTCCGTCTTCACCTTCGCGAATTTCTCGCACAATGCAGGCGACATGGACGTAGCTATTGAACCGATGCTCTTCCCTCCGCGTAGTATTAAATGTGGTGGTTATCTCTATCAGCTCCGTGAAGTTGTTGCGGAAAATAAGCATCATACTTGGCATACTTTCTCGTTGATTGATGTCTAAGCCTCTGACTGCACCTTCTATTCGAAAATGTGGATAGAGGTGATCATATTTCCACCAGTAGTATCTCGCTGTCCCCTTGTCATTTGCGAGACAGAAAAGCGGGCCTATAGATACTACTCTTTCTAGCTTGTCCCTGTTCCTACCATCCGCGCGTGGCCCGATTTTCGGCCAAAATGTTCGGCTAATACCCACTGCTTCCAGCATGCACATACGTACAACTGCTGATGCCGTTTGACCAAAACTCACGAAGGCCATGTTCGCCGCCCTTTCACCGCCAAACACCAACCTATGATCCTCTCGTTTATCATTACTTTCTATATCTTCAATGCAGGCGGTTTGAAGGCGTGTCACGTGCAATCGATTTTGGTTTTTTAACTCTGTGGAGACGGCAAGGACTACCTTAAACGTTGGGTCCGTTTGAACAAAGACAGTCTCTCCTTCCATCATCTTTTTCCTCGCGATAAAGGCGTGACGCGAATAGGTTAATGAGTGTTGATGCTGGGTTTTTTTATAGGGTTTCTTTCATAATGCTGTTATCTGATTGGCTAAGCTACACTTCATATTGTCCATGATTGATGGAAACATGATAGGTTGTGAGTAGTATGAGTCGCCCACAGGTGGCCCAAGCTCCAGCTGTAAGATGATCATCTTGCGCAATAACAGTCATGACGGAATTATAAGAGTTTGTATGGGAATATTTACGACCGCTCTAAGGAATAAAAAAATTCGTCAAATTCTCAATTAAAATACCTCACCTTACTTCCACAGTTTATCACTTGTTATCTGACCGCCTACTTTGATGAAGAGAACCCATTTTAGCGAGTTGTCCATTTCGAGGTTGACTACGCACGCTTTTCTTATAATAAATTAATATATAACTAAATTATATTGCTGGTGTAAAATTTACATTATGTATATCACCGACTGGATAAAATTACGCCGTTAGTTACTGGCGTTAAATCATACAGCTATACATTACCGACTGGAAGAAATTACGCCGTTAGTTACTGGCGTAAAACCATACATACAATCTTTGGTGGTGACGGCCGCCCATACAATACCAACTGGAAGAAATTACGCCGTTGCTAATGGCGTAAAAACTAACAGATATACATCACCGACTGGAAGAAATTACGCCATTAGTTACTGGCGTAAAATCTTGCGTATATAAATTGTCGACTGTAAGTAATTACTGTTAGCTACTGGCGTAAAATCTTACATATAGTGATCACCGATTGGAAGAAATTACGCCGTTAGCTACTGGCATAAAATCGTACAGATATACAATACCGACTGGAAGAAATTACGCCGTTAGTTACTTGCGTAAAATCTTACATATATAAATTGCCGACTGTATGTAATTACGCTGTTAGCTACTGGCGTAAAATCTTACATATAAAGATCGCCGATTGGAAGAAATTATACCGTTAGCTACTGGCATAAAATCGTACAGATATACAATACCGACTGGAAGAAATTACGCCGTTAGTTACGGGCCTAAAATCTTACAGTATATACATCACCGACTTGAAGAAATTACGCCGTTAGTTACTAGCGTAAAATTTGGAAGTAATACATTACCGACTCGACGACTTCGCGTTTTTTAGTTAACGTATACGCGAGCGGTACTGTATATTTAATGTATATTTTCAATGTTGCAACGCTTTTAAAAACGGGTGTGTGTATATATAATTACGTTTTTTAACATGAAAGAACAATTAAAATGCCAAGAACTACCTGATTCTTGAAAAAAGAAATAAGGCTCACTCACTTTTTGTCGATCTGATGGCCCCGTACACTGCCAAAACAAAATTTTATCACACCATCGAATTCCTCCCTGTATGCAATATCTTCCTGTTCAAAATGTTCCTGCTGCAAAAAATCACATACAAACAATCTAACTACATCGAAAAATAAGGCATTCAACCTTTTCTGACAAAAACAACACTCTCAGTGCTCTCCTACAAGCCATTAAGCCATTCATGATATACTAATATTATGGTCAACCCTTTTACTCCTGTGAGTGACTAAGAATTTCTCCTTACGATATCAATACAATATGAACCAGATAAGTGATGAGAATAAAGAAAAATATCAATTTGGGGATAATAATGGTTGATCCAATACTTTGTTTGAAACAAAGAGTCCTACTAGAATAAAAAAGATGGTGAGGTTTGAGCTCTTTAGAGAATGGAGAAGGATGTGTTTTCGTCTTGCCACGAGCGTGGGACAAAGAGTTCTACTCTGTTGAGTTTCAGCTTATTCTATTAATTTGAAGCTTTTATTGAAGTATTGTCATTTATTCCGTCAGGAAACGGCGAGGGAGACGTCATGTACGCCGAGGAAATTCTCCAGCCACATCTGAAGGCATTTCCGAAGGTATTTTAATCAAGGAACTGTACTAATCATGCACTAATGCTGTAATTCCCGGGCTCGCAATCTGATCGGCTGTACAGGCTGTCGTACTAGCATAACCAGGCCCTCCTAATCCGTGCGTCGTTCTTGATGCCTTCGAAGTGAAAAAGAGATGTACACATATCACGAATGTATGGCATAAAAGATTGACAAGGAGCTGCAGTCAGATTTGACGAGATAGAAGCGAAAGTATCGCAGGAATAATGCAGCAAATAGAGAAGTTTCCAATAGCATGAGCTATAAATTGTACTTACCCTTTTATTATTTTAGGGAGCGATATTCTTGTACTACGCTGGTCGTATAAAACAAGTTCAAGGAAAGTTGGATGAGGTCAGTGATGATGCAAACGAACCAGATCGACTCATAAAGGATGCATCATTCAGATTAAGAAACATTATGTTTAACTGTTGTGACGTGATACACTATCACAGCTACCCATGCTCCTGGAGGATAGGGGCTTGGGGAAATGATTCATTTGGTGATATGTAAGGTCATGAATAGCGTTGCTCGATGTGGCCTGAAAGTACGTTACGTAACGTGACATGACATCGCGACATCACGTGCTGTGCAGCGTGACTCGACATGTCACGAATAGCGTTACATGATGCGGTATGATAGTACATGAATTGACGTGACATGATATCGGCAACATGACGTTATATGATTTTACTGTAAGCTGTTTGTCTTTTTTTTAATTTTGGTTACAGGCCACCAAAAGCTACAACGACTCAATTGCAGTTCAGTCTGAATGGAAACAGTTCCATCATATCTGTTACTGGGAGTTGATGTGGTGTTATTCGTAAGTTTATCGTCACACAAGACTGTTCAGTTGTCGTTTAATTTGCGTCCCCTTGGTCTCAGTCACAAAACGTTCTCCAATGGAAAGTATTGATTAAGTCATCTCCCTTGTCATAACTGCTGTCGCATGGTAAAGTTTTGTTTTTGTTGTAGGAAAATTATAACTAAAATCCTCTTTTTCTGTCTCATTAGGTATGAGGGGGACTGGGCCACAGCGTACCACTATGCAAGTGTTCTTTTGAAGGAAAGCCGCTGGTCACGGGTAAGGACGGAAGGAATTTAAGAGAGAACGTGTGTGAAATTTAACTAAAACACCATTGTTGTCAAAGAGAAAGTGAATGGAGGCCTTAGTAACTTGCACATTTTTCTCAATGGCATTAACGTACGTAGTTGTTAAGTCTTATTTTCCACGACGTTTAGAAGATTTGCCGAACAGATGCACGGTTAATGAATAAAGGGATTAAGTTTGTAAAGAATCGGTTTGAGTTGATACAGGATTATTTGTATTTATCAACCAAGTTAATGATGTAAATCGTTCATCGCAAAGAGTTTATAATGCTGATGTTGCGAGCTTTAGTCCTTTGTCGCTAAGGTAGCACGGTTACTCAGTCTTCCGCTTTCATATGCTGCTGGAACAGAATTGCAGCTGCATTGCATGACATTGACTTAAGCCTGAACAAACTCTCTCCTCGACAGACATCCTACATGTATCTTAAAGCTTGCTTCAGAGTTATGGCGAGAATTACAAACCTGGAGCTAGCCAGAGAAGACGATCAAGGTGAAAAGGACACTGAGGAGTATCTTTTCAGGTAAATATGAAGGAAAAGAGGGCGGAGAAAGAGCGGCAAACTTTTGTGGATTATTTTACCACTATTTCCGTTATTGCCTCTGTGACTTCGACCCCAGTTACTTGTTATTTACACTTTATGTAAATTTATCGCCCTGGACGAAGGCTCTGCATTGCGCCCGCAATGCTTTACCGAAAAAACAGGCGAATCCAAGAGCGCCCGGAAAGACAGGGTATTGAAAGATCCAAAGGGAAGTTTCTACGCGAGGTCTAACCTCTCGGAGCCAACCTGTACCCGTGAAATCCCCGCCCTTTTGTTGAACATGAAGTCTGATCAAGGCGCCCCTTGAGTTTGGGATACTTGCCTCCCTATAATGGACAAAACGGGAGTAAAGGCGAGGCGAACGCTGAAGTGTTAAAGGAAAACTTGAAAGGCTATCAAGCATGGAAAAAAAAGGCGTAATACAATTGTAATTAAAAACGTAAGTTTGTGCTATTGTCGCTTAGATTGTGTAAGAGAGACTTACTAACAACTGCAGTTGACGGGAAATTTCAAAAAGTCCTCTCTAAAACCAGAGAATGATATCGTATCCAGTTGTTTCCATAGGGCACGAGCAGGTGGGAATATGGGGGGACAGGGAGTGAAAGGATGGGAGATAGAAGAAATGTTCCTCTTTTGCTCGCTCCTAAACCATCATACTTTGCGCTCCCGCGCCGTTCACATATGGTTTGAAAACGATTGGATACCAGTTGGTTTTCTTTGTATCAGGCGACTTCCGGAATACAAGCAGCGCATCGCTGGAAAGTCCGTTCCATTTGAGAAATTTTCCATTCACAAAGCTAACAAGTACCTGGAACAAGGCAACCATCTATTTCTTCCTGGCATGGTAAGTGCGAGGAGAATCGTATGTCAAAATCTCTTTTCTCCGTTGGTTAAATTAGAATTGTAAGGCGCACAGATCTAATGATAAGGCAAATAATTGGGGCGAGTCTATTTCTAGCCCAATTAGCGCAACACTTTTTGTTTTCTGTACGCGTGAGAAATGTCAGCTTGGCTAGTACGTCACATGGACGTTTGTTTAATTACGTTGTTAGAGAATACATTTTTTGGGTCTAATCTTGTACTATCGAAGAATGAGCCATTCTCAGACGGCAGCAATGTCGTTCCTAGGCTCCTTACGTTTTTTCTTTCGAGACGACAAGGGGAGAGGAATGGAGACGAATTAGGATATATGTAAGACAAATGATATATACGCGAGGTTTTTTTTTCCCCTGGGGAATTAAAGAACCCCTAAACTGACTCTCTCTTCAGGAACTTATATTGCTCTGGAATGGCTTCAAAGTTCTTCATCGCAGGCCGGACTTAGTGGAGTCAATGTTGAAACTTGTCCAAACGTCGCTGGTAGAGTTAGAAGAAACTAAAGGTAAACTATAATTAGTAAAAATTACGGTCGAAAACGCACCAACACAGGTTTCCTATTAAAGCACCTTTTTTATTCTAGAAAACCCATATTTCTACTATTACATCTGCGGTTCAACTAACGAACATATATGACGACCTTTTTCCGAACAAAACCGTGATCACGAGTTTCCGGTTCCTTATTCACTTATTGGTACCGCCTAACCATGAATACTCCAGGAGTCCTGGATAAAAAGTAGCAATGTGAAATTTAAGCCCAGTCAAGTACAGCATCACATACAGCATTATATTGTCGGCGGCTATGATTAGAACCCAAACCCCGTCGAGGAGCAGACTTGCAGTTTTGCGTAGACCTTTCAACTGCACTTACCTCTTTAGTTCCAGTTCCCCAGCGTCATTCCAATTTTTTTCATATTTAAAAAACAAAACAACGTGACAGTCTTTCCTTTTTTTTTTTTTTTTTTTTGTTTTTTTTTAGGTAAAAATACAAATTACATTGATGATTTGTGTCTTGGATACCTGCTTCAGGGAATGTGTTACCGTTGTGTGAACAAACCGAAAGAAGCAATGGAGAGCCTCCTTTATGCGGTAAACAGGTCAGTAACTTTGCTTCCGGCAACTTGCCTTCTCGTATCATTTTCCCTCCTAATTTTTGTAATGGATCTTGAGAGTGAAAGAGTTAAAACCACGGGTTTGTTTTATATGATCCGTGAAACTCCCTTTCGAGTATGGGAACAAAAAACAAGCGCGAGAAAATTATGGCAAATGAGTGTATCTAGCTGAGAGAGGTCTCGGGGGAAGGATTCAGGCCACCCTCGGCCAGCTCTAACAGCCCATTTTTTTCCCTTGGTTTGTTTTTGGCGTGACATTATGTCGGCCTCCTTTCCCAACCAGGGAGTGCAAGCACCTTATTCCTCCTTTTTCGTATTGCAGATCAAAGGACCTAGTTAAGGATTTCTACTTGGCTCCCTTCGCATGCGCAGAAGTTGGCTTTCTGTACCTAGAGGAGGGAGATCTTGATCAAGCCAAAGAATACCTCAATAAAACAAGGTATGAAAAAGCAAGTCGATTTTTCTAAGTGATGGTAAATTTTCAGGACAGAAAGCAAGGCAGAACTCAGAGAAGACGTACAACCGATGTTATAGAAAAGCTGTCTAGTGCGTTAACATTAGCAAGTGTTGTTAAGCAGCGTGGAATATCCAACATACCTGCAAGTGCAAGTAAAGCGCGGGAAAAAGTGCCACTGGTGTTAAGTGCGGGAAAACGTGCAACCGGTGATAAGCGTGGCTCGGTGTTGCCGTGTTTAAGCGCGGGAAAAATGCAAGAGCTTCTAGGTTTGGAGCATGGCAAAGGATCAAAGCAGTTCAGTTCTTAACTTTTATCCTTAAGAATGCACCGTAATCTGTTCATACTGTTTTCTCTCACATAAATCTGTATGCATGTAGGACGCTTGCTATTGGCCTCTAGGTGCGAGTGCTTGAGTGGGGTTCTAATTGAATGATGTTAATTTTAAGCTAAGTGTAGTTAAATTGATGGCTGAGGGACTCAACACGTGGTGCATTGAAAATGCTCTCCTGGAGTACACTGCGCATGGTATGAAGTATGGGATCCCAATGGGATGGTATCAGTATCTAAGCAACTGCGCACCTACCCCTCCCCTAACCCAGCATTAACCCTAACTTTTATCAGTTGACTGTTGCTAGGTTACGGAAGGGGTAGGTGTGCAGTTGCCCTGTGCCCTGTGAGAATCATACCTCATACCATATATGGTGTGCACTTGGAGAGAATACTGACATTGATCCGCTAGTTTTTGTACCCCAGCGTTCCTCACAAAATCTTTGAGAACGTACTTTTTGAACCGACAGGAAAGACTACGAAAACCATTTGTTACAAAGCAGACTTCACTTCAGAATCCACTCAGCGCTTCAAGAAATCAAACACAGACGCAAGCAGGCGAAAGAAGCAGCTAAAATGGAAAAAAAGCAATCCAAACGCTCCAAGAATGGTGTCACTAACAATAATTCCTCAATAGACGAGGATTCTATCAGCATCTCTCTCGGTGGATCCGAGAGTCTCTCGCGCCAGGACTCCAACTCGTCCTTTGAGACAGCTCCTGAATATTCATCGGAAGATGACAGGGACCTGGGAGACATGGAACGGGATAGCAGTCCTAAAGAGAATGTTGTTTTGGAAACCACAGTGTGAAAATTTTCCGTCTCTTTAAGTTATTTAAATTTCCTTTAGTATCTTTTACGTGGTGTTACAGGATGATAAAAAAGCCTCGGTAATAAATTTATTAGTTGTTAAAAAAAACCTAGATAGAGCCATACCAAGTCCACTCCAATGAAGCCAATGAAGTGATATTTTGCTTTCTAAAGGTGTTATTTCTTTTTTTTTTTTTTTGTTTCCCTTTACCAGAGCTTCATTTTCGTGGACATGAACGGAGTCTACTTCCCTAATTTTATATATGTTTTTTTTTCCAACAAGGCTGTATTTTTTTCTGTGTATGTTAGTGTTAAGGGAGGAAAGCCGTTTCTTCGACAAGCCGAGTTGATTATTACATTAGGCACAGCATTTCGTTTACTTTGGGGGTTAGGGGTAGCCTCTGTAGCGAGTAAAAAATAAGTAATTTTTTGTGACTCGTGATCTTCACGAGCGCTTTTAACAAAATGAGTTTGTCAGGGGAGGCGGGGCTCGGGTTGATAATTTGAAGGAATGTGTCAACGGATCTTCACGAGAAGCTAATAGAGGAAATCTCAATCCGAAGAGTAAAACGTCCCTGCAAAGATCCTCTCGCGTGGCGTTACATTATCGAGATATGACTCGGTCTTTGGCCAATGAGATCGTTTGCATCATTTCTATAATCACGTGAGCAATGATCTCGCTCTTTTAATTTCAATTTACAAAGGGAAGTAGTTTGGTGTGTATAATTTCCCTCAGAAGTCTAAAGTTAAACTCCTCAAATAGTTGGGAATTTGAACGAATTATAGATTTTATTTATTCTGTCCGTTCTTATATTTGCATTGCTTCTAACCGAAATATTCATTTTAGATTTATTTATTTTTAAGCCAGAGATATTCTAAATTAACAACAAGAAAAATAAAACTCTATCTGTACATACGTCGCGTGAAGCGAAATTGTGTTATTACAATCACCCACTGTGGTGAAATCAGGAAAGCTTTAATCTTTCATCGAGCAGTTTTTTAGTCAGTTACGTCATATTTTTGTGTGCTTGCAGACTTATTTTCCACCGAGTAATTTTAAGATTTTAGGGTTAAAATGAATGCTTCGAGATGAAGGAAATTTCTGATTTTTCCAACGCGCGCAGCGGAAAATAAAACCAAGGAACTGTGGATTAACTTACTTTACATCGTTCTTAGAAAGTTTTAGATCTGGCTTATTTAGATAGGAAAAGTTTGTATCACATTTGCTTAGAGTTTAAAGGAATAAAAGGAAAAAGCTTTCTTGTTGTTATAACGTATCCACTTATTTCACCGGACTTTGATTGGCTCGACAGAGAATGGTGGTGGCTAACGCCTTTCATCCTAAATAAACGGTCTATTTTGTTGCAAAATTCATAAGTTACAGTGATCGATATGCCGCTGATCTGAAATAAAATGCAAACAGAGACGGTTATTTAGACCGATGGAATACTGTTTCCTCGAATTCAATATTAAAAGCGCACAAAATCAGTGATGCTATAGAGCACGAGCAGTAGTTGACTCCTTCCCAGCTTCATCTGTGTTGCGCGGCACTGAAAACAAACGAAGTTGATATCTAGGTGTTTCCTAGAGTTCACGCGGAGCAGGGATATCTTTCCGCAGACGTCTATTATATGAGTCGCTTCACACACTTTTCGTATGACAACAATACAACGGTGGAATCACGATACTTCCACAACCAACATCAAATTGATTGATCAAAACGAGTCATTAGCGCTGTCCACTAACGAAAACGACTGCTTTATAGAGCTTATTGCATATATTTTAAGAAAGTGTGGACAAAAGGATTGGAAAGTTACTATTACTATTACGAAAATTAGGTACCAACTCGGATACTAAATGGATATCAAATGCATCTGACGTTCGAGAATGTACGATACATGGACCTCAGGTTTGGTTGAAAAGAACGTTGAACATGTATGTTAATGCCGAACTCAGCACTTCTATGGAGCGAAGTTTTCATTCTCAGCCGTCTTTTCTCGTAGTTTTGGTTTATTGTTTGCTCTTTTGTGTTTTTCTACCTTTCGAATCTGATACTATGTAGATTCCTTAAAAAAAGATTCCTTCTGCAGTCTTAGCAAAAAATTGCAACAGAACTTGGTTCGCACGGCTGTCAACTAATCCGTCAGGTGTGAGCATTGGGACGAGACAAGTCTACACAGAGAGAAAACTGAGCACTAGTAAATAAACAAAGATTACGAAATACGCCGTAGCAGACAAGAGAAATAATTAAGTTTTAAGTTGTTTTGAAAAAGTTATCTGTACTTTCTCCTCGCTAAATTGAGAATTAATCAAGTAGAGGATGGATGGAACCGTGGTGGATCAGTCAAGGTTAGTCTAGTTTGTACAGTTTAAGTTAAAATTTTGGAAAATTTCACGTGTCCGTTCAAATCCTTCCAAGTACCGGCTGACCTCGAGCTCTGCGTAAGCCTATTGACTGTTCTTGGTTAAATACGTTGAACATAACGGGTTTGTACACCTTTGATTTCAAATTCATATGAATATAAACTTGTTTTCTATAGTTACCTAATGCTTTCCGCGATAAGCACATTACAGGTAAATCAGTTGCTGGCACGTTTCATGTTGTGTAAACAAAGCCGATAACCTCCGAAGAAAGTGCTGTGGTGTCCAACGTTGGATAATGATTAACTTCCTTTAATCGGAAGTGCCCGCAATAGTCGATCTGTATCAAGTCTTTTACCACACCAAGTCATCACTGATTTCAATTTTCAGAAAGTTGTCACGCTTTGTAGAGTGTCTGGGTCAATTCCTTAAGATTTAGGTAATTTATAGTGTTTATCGGACGAATGTACGGCATAAGATTAACCTTCTACATCCCAACATCAGTATGCAAGTTCTCCATACCGTTTTTTATACATTTTCTATAGTACTTCCAAGGAGAATTTGACTTACTTTCATGAGCTTTGTGAGTTCATGATCATTTTCTCCATTTTCATGACCCGAAAGTTTGATTCAGAAGTGTTACTTTTGGGAGAAGTTAGATGCCTATCACCATCAGGGTAGTCAAGCGAGATTTTAAACTCATCAGTGATGCGCTAAGAATGTTGTACTTGTGCGGCTTGTAATGTTGTAGTATGAACTCAAAATGCCATGCAAATACTATACTCTTATAAAAGTTTTGAGGTCATAATGAAGACCCCTTCTCTACCCCCCTCATATTTTCCAATGACCTTCCATTGGGTTGTGGGGATATTTTCTGGAAAATCATCATGCTGCAATATTTGTAGGGTTAAAAGTATTCAGATTTGTTCTTTTAAAATGTTTATAGGCACAGGATTTTTCCTTACCAGTTTGATTTTGACTTTCCCTTGAGTATTTGTTCCCTTTAACTAAAATAAGTGAAAGTTAATGTAAAATTGGGAGGAAATTTTCTATGCAAACTTGAAATTTTAATCATGACAGATGATAAAATCCGAAGTAGTTGTATTTCCTCAGTGACCCCTAGTCATCAATATATTTGGATTACCAGTCAATACTGGTAATCTTTAGTATGGAATTCATGTTTAACTTAATAATTGTTTGATTTGATTTTTTTAAATTATCTTCTTTTACAGTACAGATAATGATTCCTTTACTATGGTAGAAGCTGCCAAAATGATCACCAAAGCATATGACCTCTGCTTTTCAAACAAGTTTCTACAAGCAAAGGCAGACATAGAGCCATGGTATGGAAATTTCAATTTGTGGTCTAAGTAGTAAACTGTGTCTAACAAGTTATAGGTCTGGGTACAAACTCGATAACGTGTGAAAAAGTTTTACATAAGTCTTAATACATGAGTCTCTGTCAAAAATTGTAATTAAGTTTCATGGGTTTCACTACCTGTTCAAAGGGGCATCTCTCTTTCTCCATTTTTGAAGTTTCACAAAACAGATCTTAATTAAAATTGTTATAGAAAATAATGGTACTTTTTCTGGCTCTCTTGAAAAGCCCCCTCCTCCTCCTACTATTTGTATGATGGACAATGATTGCTAGATAAAGCATTAGTCTAGAATTTATATAATTACACCTTTACAGGGTGTGAAATAGCGCCTAATACAGGTGCCAATGTGCCTGAATTTTTCACTTTGGCGATCAAATCCTGAAAATTAGTCACCAGATTGGCAACTAGAATGCTTCATCATGAAATCATCAAAAATTGAGGAGCCAAGTGGCTATCAGAAAAAGAAAAAAATAATAATTTCACAGTTTGCATTGCTCCAACCTATTTTGTTAGGCAAACTGAGCATAAATCATCATCAGATTCTGGTTTTTATTTAGTGAAAAAAACTACTATAATAATTCTAGTTCTTTTGACAAAAAAATTTACCTTTTCAGGATTTCCCTCACCCAGAAAATCTCCCAACATGTGCAATTTGTTTAGGGATACAGTCAAGTGGAAATATTTGTTGACTTCACAAATCATGTATATGTAATGAATAAATGGATATTCAAGTTTAGTTTATGGTTTCAGGATCAACAAAAGCATGTACCATGCAGTTGCATACAGCAGTATTATGTGCATTCAAGCTCTGTTGAAATTTGAACAGGTATGAGTCTGTACTTTCACCCTTTAACTCCCAAGATCTGATTTTTAATTCTCTCTTCTAGCTACTACACATTTCTTTGTAAATTAGTTATGAGAATTTGGCATTAGATCAAGATGACAACTTCTAGCTGAAAAGTTTGAGTATTCTCATTACTTGTTTGCTGGATAATGTAGAGATATTATTGGGAGAAGTTGCATATTGATCGCTGCTAGGAGTTAAAGGGTTAATTCAGGAAGACAATGTTTACAATATTCCTTGGGCTTTTCACGTCTAAGGCCTGATATATTAAATCTTCTCTGCAGGTTAAAATTTCTCCCATGCGCCTGCTGATCAATTTGTCACACCTAGTTAAAAAAGTCAAGTTACCACAACCTTAATGAAAAGTTTAGAGTCCGAGTAAAATACATACAAACTTGATTCCAATCAAGATGAGAACAAAAAAATTTTGTCTGAGTGCCTGACAGAGGACATCTTGGAAATAATGTGTGTTCAGAAGATAATAAATTTATTTGCAAATATTTGGAACACTTTTGAAAATGTACTCTTTTCTAGTCCTTTGAATGTATTGGGGTTAATTTCTTCCAGAATAGAAATCTTACACCTTTGACTCCAAAACAGTTGGCTGGTAGGATCTTGTCATATTTGATAAGTTTTAAACTACATGATTTGTCACAGAAGTATGATTGGTATTCACAGAGTCAACGTTGTAAAATTTAAGATGCCATATTAGAGAATTGAATTGAAATTTTTTTCTCTATTTCCAGCCAGCAATTCAAAAGGCAAGTGAAAGTGTCAAGTTGGCTGTGAATATCTGTGAGAGGTACTAACAATGATCTGTTTATCGACATGTTAACCATGGCTATTCATTCATTAACCATTTAACTCCCAGATCAAATTTGTAATTCTCCACACTGTCAACCATACAATTTTTATAATGTTAGTTCAGAGAATTTAGTATTGGATCAACCAACTATCCCCAAATTGATGTTTTTCTTTATTCTCATCACTTATCTGGTTGACATTATTTTGATATTGTAAGGAGAAATTCTGTCTTGATCACACATGAGAGTTAAAGGTTTAAGGAATACACCATAGCATAAGGCATAATGATTATAGAATGAAACAGAATTGTTTTAATTATTTTATCTTCAGACAAAGGAAAAAGCCAACATGGTCAGAGACATTTTCAAGCTGGATATGGAGTTCTGCATATGATGAGTTTTCCATGGGTTTGTACAATGATCTTCAGTTCTTTGTCATTGTTAAACAAAGTTTTTTAAAATTAAAAGTCATGGATACTAGTAACTCCACACATTGAATTTAACAGAGACTTAATAAGCTAACTGCTAGACTTAATTCATTTACACTGTTTTAGAGGTTTTGGTTTCAAGATTTATTGCCATTTTTAAATCTTTCTCTAATTTTAATTGATTTTTTGGAGTCGAGGGCTTGAAATTAAGTACCTGAACTAAAGTAAATTAAATTAAATGGAGAATGAAATTAAATCATTTTTGATGTAAATGAAATCTTTCTTTGCAGAAGAGAAGCATGCTGAGCTGTGCTATACAGAATGTCTTCTTCTTGATGCTTTACTTACATTTATTCAGGTAATAGTGAACAATAAATATTGTGCACTACTAACTTCATAGGTCTGGTTTTAAAAAATTGTATTTTGCTGAAGGATTCTTGTGTTGATGTATACCGTATGCTATAAAATGCTGCAGATCAGTCACATTTGTGTTTGTTAAAATTATGTCTGAATATGTTGATTGATTACTGCAGGATGACAATCTTGTCAGTTTTGTGTGGGGAGCTTTGAAAATTAGGACCTGTTATCAGAATTACAAGTAAGGACTAAATTAGTGTTAGCTACTTATCAGACAATAGACACTCAAGTTCATATGCAAATATTCATGTGAATTAATTTTAGATGGTTTGAAATCATTGTTTGAATAATCACATTTTATTGTAACTATTTGTATCATTCAGTAGTTTTAAATCCTCAATGTCCATAGCTTTATATTCTATTTGAATTTTTTTCCTATGTATTTCTATTAATATCATATTTCAGTCTCCATTTATTCTGAGGGCCATAAGTTAATCAGTTTAATTACTGTCTAATATTATCTCCTTTATACTAGGTCTACTTATTTACTTACTCACTATTTTGGTGAGATATTTGGCTCATCATTTTAACTACTGACATAATAGTTCAATCAATCTCATAGAAAAAGAATTTTATTAACCATCAAAGATAATGGACCAAGTAATTTTCAACCTTTAAGAAAAGGTTTAACAGCAATAAAGTTGTGTAGTATTGGTCTTTGTCTCTGTTTAGCCAATGAATTAAGTTTTAGAATCCTTGTTTTAAACAGGACTTGTCTTGAAATGATAGCAGACCAACCACATTCTTTATCCCAGTCACCTCTTGAGAAAGACTTTGAAGCAGGAGTTCATTTTGGAATTGGTGGGTTTAATCTGGTGAGTGGCACCAATGGTATAAGTGCTGAAATAAACAATTATTCCACAGGCACACATTGGATATGAGATGATAGACAGCCCAAGTTGGCTATAATCATCTCATATCCAACAAGTGCAAGTGGAATAATTGTTTCATTAAAAAATGCCCCAAAATGTAGGTAAATCTTACCAAAATTATTGCATAAGAACAAATGGAATGTTACAATGTACCAAAACACTTCTGGTTTAACTTGTCTTCATGCACACACATAGAATAAAGGCTTATAACCCATGATGGCTAAGCCAATGATAACTCTTGAATTACAATATCCAATGATCCAGTTCTTAATAATTACTGTAATATGCAATATCTGCTTGACAAATTTCAATGAAATTTTAACACTAATCATGATTTAAGTTTCAAATCTAAACTTTGAGATGAAAATAAGTGACGAAAAGAAACAATGGTTCAACCTCTCTACAGTTATTTTCCAGTTCTTGAAAATATGAAAAATTATAAATAGAATCCAAAAATATTAGCATTTAAATATGATAGTTTAAAAAAGATGGATGAGAATGTAACAAGCATTAGGATGTGTTAAAATTAAATAATCACAACAATTTACTTATTTGATGGTAGAAAAATAGTCCCTGAGTTACACTGTGTGTTTCATAAAATTCTGATCAGTTTCTTGATAAAAGGCAACTTTTGGTTTTGCATTTTTTTTTTAATTAAAATGAAGTTATGTTTATTTTCTTGCTTGTTCATTTGCTTTTAAGGTGTTGTCTTTACTTCCACCCATAATTATAAAATTGTTAGAGTGGGTTGGTTTTTCAGGAGACAGGGTAAGTATCTATTCATCTATTTTCATGTACCATCTTTTAGTTCACAGTTAGTGACGCTTTCTAAATTTCATTTTTTCTTCGTTTCTGGGACACCACAGTTTCTAGGGATAAATCATTTACACAAGGGAAGTAAAGGCCAGAGTCTGAGGTCCCCACTGTGCTCTTTACTTCTCCTTGCCTACCATACATGGATTACCCAGTATTTAGGTAAGTTACACATTTTGCAAGCATTGAAGTTTTGAAGTAAAAATAAACTTTTGATTGTGTGCCATAAAAAAAAAACAAATAATTCAAAGGACCATTTAGATCGAGTCTTGGTTAATAGAGCCGTTTTTAATTGGCTTGAGATACTTCGCTCTGTGATTGGTTAAGAAAACGTGCTCCACCTTAACAACCGATTAAATTCAAAACTGAAACAAATCACGACTCGGTCGTTCGCGTTTTCCCGCGATTTTCTGACCGTGCAGTTTTGCTTGTTTTCACATTGAGTCTTCTTCGGCTTCTTGTGACGTGATTTCTTATTAAATTATTTTGTTGTGGTAACTCTGGTTTTGATTTTATGACTCTCCATAAAAAATAACAAGCAAAGCAGAAGGAAATGATAAGTCAACTGCCTGATGCGTAGGGAAACGCAAATGATAAAGTCGTTATTGGTTTGATTAGTATTTGTAATGGGACTGAGTAGAGTCCAGTTCGGTCTGTGATTATACGAGTGATTTGTTTGTCGCGAGTACGAGAATTGTTTTTTTTCGGAATTTTTAACGGATTACTACCAAAAAAAATCATCCTTGTCATGGTTTGCACGTATCTTCATAAACTCCAATTTTGTTGGTCCGGTACTGATCTTGTTAGTGCGCTTATGGGTAATTTTGTTAGAAATTGTTCTTTAATCACAGCCTCATTCCCAGGTCTGGGATCCGGATTAAAACACCGAAAGTTGAAGTTTTCTTTGTGTGTAAAATTACACTACCATGATTATGTGTTTATTGTAGGGAACGGTGATGGCGATATAGATCAGTCTGAGGAAATCCTTCAGCCTCTTTTGACAACATTTCCAAAGGTAATTGCAATTGTGTATTTTTGGTTTAAACGCACTTTTGACTTCAATTCGAGAGGTTCTCTAGGCTATGTAGTAACGCTTTGTTGGCAAAAACTGTATTTTTTCAGTGTTGGGAAAAGATGCGATTATTTTGTTATCAGTTCTACAGATTCTCGTTCTGTGTTAGTGTTCTTCAGTATAGTTTTTCAGCAAATCACAAGCCGGTACTAGAAACGACGTAATCGAAAACTGATGTCGCCTCACTTATAGTCTTTTTCTTTTATTTTAGCTGAGCTCTTGTTGTTCTCCTATTTTTCGATGAGCAGAGTGTATTTTGCAGATCAAACAGTTTAAGTGGTAGTTTTTACATCATTGTAACTCTTTTTGTAAATCTTTGGAACAGGGATCACTCTTTCTGTTTTACGATGGTCGCATTAAACAAGTTCGAGGGAAACTGGAAGAGGTAAGTGCTAATAGTTTTCAACGCATCTGAGCCGAAAATCGTCCGGCTGTTTTCTCTCATGCAATGGCGAGGACTCGCTTCTCCAATTCCCTTTTTCGATTTTTAAAGATATAATTTTTTTCGAGGTTAGCGTATCATAGCACCAAGTGAGCAGGGTAACTAAAGGAATGTACACTTTTTAACCTGGGTTTGTTTGTTTAAGTTAAAGCTTTCTATCATTTGTTTCTAGGCCATCAACAGATACAAGCACTCGATCACAATTCAGTCAGAGATTAAACAATTTCATCATATTTTCTACTGGGAGCTGATGTGGTGCCACGCGTAAGTATAACAATAAATAGCTGAATAGGCTTCGTTGCGAAATTTTGCGTCAGCTAGAATATTTCCTTGGTCTTGCTGATAAGATTACATTTTGCAGGTGCAAAGGAGACTGGGCCGAGGCTTATCAATACGCTGGCATTCTTTTTGAAGAGAGCATGTGGTCGAAGGTAAATAACGCACAATAAAATGTTATTTTTATGTAGAGAACAGACATCTGTTAAGATTGTATGTCTTTGCCAATAAGTGGTGAGGTTAAGGGAGAAACATTTTTTGCCTCAACTCCACGCTCTTAAACCTTAATAGTTCGAAACAACAGTAAAAGTTGTTCCTCTTTGATTACGAAAGCTTCTTGAAGTTTCATGAACATAGCACGTTATTCAAACGTTCTCATCCTGTTTCCACAACAAAAATGTTTCTATTCTTCGTTGTGTCCTTTTCTTACAGGGACTTGGCGCTCCCTGAAGTCGCATTTTATTTCAGGAATTCACGGTCCTTTTATGATTGTACTCATGCAGGGCGTATGTCCCCCTGTAATAGCCTTTCATACCACATAGTCTCTGTGGCTTAGTGAAAGAGCATCGGAGCGCGAAATCTGAAAATATTAGGTGCGATTCCTCATGGAGACGCAGTATTTTTCTCTTTACCCCACCCTCGGACAACACGAAAAAGGTTCAGCCAATCATAGCAAGGAAAATATCACGAGGAGCCAATGAGAACTCAAAGTAGAAACATGCAAACGATGCAGTAGATTTTAGTTGTAAATCTGATTGGTTCAAAAAGTAGCGCGAGTTTCCTAGACCAATCACATAACAAACCAAAATCAAGCAATCTCGAATTACTTTCGACACTCAATTGAAAATTGCTCTATGTGAGAAACAAATTGCTTCTTTCCTTCGCTCGTGACAATTTTTAAACGTCTCTCTAAATATTCAGACTGTTTACATGCATCTAAAGGCGTCGTTCAAACTCACGGCCAGACTGGCCAACCAGCCAATTAGCGATGAAGAAGGACGTCACACAGAGAGCTTTATGTTTAGGTAAGCGTTTAAAAATTTAATGAAGGCTACAAATATTGACAATCTTTCGCCTTGTTTTTTACCGTCTCTCCATGTCATCGCAAGATTCACAGCCCTTCCCTCTTCCGTCACCCCACCCCACCCCACCCCACCCCACATCCCAGAAGTGTTGTAGTTCCCATTTTTCCCACAATTAATTTGTTCCTTTGTTTTCTTTTGTTTCTAATTTCCCTTTTTTTCTAAGGCGTCTTCCAGATTTTAAGCAGCGTATCGCAGGTCAGTCTCTTCCATTTGAAGACTTTGCCATCCATAAGGCAAACAAGTATTTTGAACAAAAGGGCCGTCTTTTTCTGCCTGGAGTGGTAAGTCCAATCTTGTTTGATATACTCTTAACCCTTTACTCAGTAACATCAGTAGGCATATTCTCCACACTGTTCTCTATACATTCCTCAAGGTGCTGACAAGGAGAATTTGTATAACATTCTAGAGCTGATTTAGTTAATGATTATTTCCTTTTGTCTCGTCACCCTAAAGTTTGATTTAGGTGTGATATTGTCTGGAGAAATTAGATGCTGGTCACTCTTAGGGGTTAATAAATTAAAATGAAAAAGAACGTTACACGAGATTGTCATTTCAGTTTCCCTTTGAATTACGGAAGATATTATTTCTTCATTTATCACCAGGAGCTTCTATTTATATGGAATGGCTTCAAAGTCCTCGCTCACAGACCTGACTTAGTTCCGCCTCTAATGAAACTAGTGGAGAGTTCTTTACATAAACTAAAGCAAACAAAAGGCAAGTTATGCAGTCCAGCATTTGTGATAAAGCTAACTCGGAGTCGCTGTAATTTTTTTTCTGATTCAGTTTTGTAGCTTTGTAGACTGTTTTTCTTTCTACATTTTGTCTTCCCGAGTTTTACCTTACAGTAGTTTATATATCTTTGGAAATTTTCTGTACACGTTCAGAAACTGGTCGCGTTTAATCTCGAAGCTGAAGACTTGTAAAACCTTATGATACTCAGTTGAAGACTGTTGTAGCGCAAAATGTATCAACTCGCTTGTCTTTCTCGGATACCGTATTTCCTTTAATAAGCGCCCACGCTCTGATAAGCGCCCTACCCTGAATAAGCACCCACTTCCTAGGCCATATATCAAACAAGCGCCCCTTTTCCCCTCCCCCCTCAATTTCTTAAATGGTAGGGATACGAGAAGAAACTGTATCAATTGTCACTTTATCGAGAACATTTTAAGATTTAATTACAGCAGAATCAGAACAAGAGGACAGTTTCTTAATACGCGCTCCCTCGATTAAGCGCTCTTCTTCCAATAAGCGCCCCCTCCTTCCAGCCGAAATTTTAAATAAGCACCCGGGCGTTTAGTCGAAGAAATACGGTGTAAGCCCGGTTTCTATCCAATTCGAACATTCTCACGGAAAATATACCATTATATCCCCTCAATTATAACGGTTGATATTCATAACGCACACTTTTTTTTTCTTCTAGAAGAGAATGAAAATTACGTAGACGACTTGTGTTTGGGTAAACTCCTGCAGGGAATGTGTCATCGTTGCTTGAGTAACAGGAAAGAAGCAATGGAATGTTTGAGAAATTCTTTCGACAGGTAAATGATGGGGATTCATGCTAACATTGCCAAGCATAATATTTCTCTTTCTTTTTTCTTTCCCTCCTCTTCCCTTTTTTTCTTTCTTTCAAGATCTTATGGGAACACCAACCCATTCCATCCCATACCCGATGGTTAACGCACTGGACTCCATACACAGAGGCTTGGGTTCCAGCCTGACTGGGTCGCCGCTTAATGCTCTTTGGCAAAGCACTTTCCAGTGCCTCTCAACCCAGAGTATAAAAAGCTGATGGCGAACTGTTTAGAAAACCTGACGAAATGTTGCCATGGATTAGCTTCACATCCTGGAAATATTAGAATACTCTACCCGCTTCATGCTAATTTTAATTTTAAAAACTGGGACGCGTTTAACTTAATTAGATACTTGGCTCAAATTTCGACATCTTTACTATCTCGTCCCAATCCCTCTCCCATGTTCATATTAGCTTTGTACTCTCTCCAGGGCCCACTTGTTCGAAGGCCGATTAGCGCTGACCCAAGGTTAAATTTTAATCTGGGTTTCTTTATTCGTTAATGGAAAAGCCTTTTTGGGATAATTTACTGTGTTCTTTTTAGAGCATCCAATAATCATATTTAAGACAAAAACAATTCGACTGAATTTCCTTTTAAAGCTTTCAGATCTGAATTCAGATTTCACATTAACCTTGGGTTATCTTAACCTAGCTTTGAACAACCCGGCCCAGATCTCTTTCGTCAACTTATCCAATACAGCTGCTCCATTTTCTTTCGCCGTATTTGTTCTAAGTCGAGTGAAGAGCCCAGATATGGAATTTGCGCATTGAGGTGTATGAACAGAATTCGTGTTACCAGTGACTCAGTCATGTCGTACAGTAAATAACTGCAATATGAACATTTGTGTGAGGGACGGTTGTGTTTCTTATTTACAGATCAAAAGATTTGAAGCAGGATTTTTACCTTGCTCCTTACGCATGTGCAGAGATTGGATTTCTGTATTTGGACGAAGGGGACTTTGGGCGAGCTAAAGAATATTTGGAGCGGGCAAGGTATTGAATTATAGATGCAATTTCCCTCTTAACGTTATCTTTCATGTAACTGAACAGTAGTGAAAGACTCGTGTAAGCAGATCGGACTTTGCTTTAACTTCACCATTTCCCGCGCTTTTTACCGTTCCTATCGGTTAGCGCCGATTGCATCCACTCCCTGCTTTGTGGTCTTTGTATGTTTTCCCGCGCTTTTCTCTTGTTTAATGTTTGCCCGGCACCGGTCGCATAATAACTCACGAAGAATTAAATACACAATTTCCTCATAAAGTGGGTGGCGATTCGAGCTGTAGTGTAACTGATCTTCCAGGTGTTACGGTTTATTTTTTATCATTCATTTTGTTATTGTTTAAACCTGATAGGAAACATCGTGATCATCTTTTACAAAGTCTTCTTCACTTGAGAATTCACGCAGCTCTCCAGAAGATTGAACAGAACAGCGTATCTATGGGAAGACCACAAGTTGTTTGTGGACAAGAATTTGTACAAAATGGAACACAGAACGAGCTTCAAGTTATGAATAGCGAAGAAATGACAGAATCAGAAGATTTCTTCGATGCTGAGGAAGAGTGTGCGAATTTATATCGACAAGACTCTAACTCTTCATTTGATATAATATCGGATTTTTCCGATGAAGTATGAGCATTAAGGGTATAATTCATGGTTTTTGAGGATTCTTGAAAAATCTAGCCTTCAATTCCCTCCCGTTTAGATTTTTGCTTATCTCTCCGGTGTTAACATGTCTACCGTATAAAATTATTTGTTATGGTTTCGTACCTTTTTCAATCAATTTTTCAGGGCGCCCAGAATGATACAAAAACCAAAATGTTATTTATCCTTAATCAGAAGGTGAGCTCGAGAATCCAAGTAGATTATGGAAGGCGGGAGTCAATTATCAACGCTGATTTTTAAATTAATACTTAATTTTAAAAACTTGGTTTAAAAACTCCACTAGTTTTCCATTTTAGTTGTAAGGATTTTTTTTGTTTTTATATATAAATTTCCTGTTGAAGAATTCATTGGCGAAAATCCTCACTGTGTTCCTCTCACTGTCAATAAACCGGTAAACAGCGGACCTGACAAACAACATGGGATTTTTCAACAGATTGCTTAGGTAGTGCCGGATTTACAAGAAACAAAGAGCACATTTAAGGAGTTTACAATATTTTACCTCCAGATGTAAAAATGTTAAAAGGTTTTCCACTTGCGAAAGATTATACATTTCTCTAATAACGTTCTATAGTAAAATGAACATTTCAACGCATCCAGTAATTTTTTGTTATGTATATTTTCACTGGCATGTTATTTATGGTGCAATATTTTGAAAGGAAACATTCAGGTTCATATTTGAATGCGCTCGGTATAAACTAGAACTGTTGGTCATAGTGCACTCGATCTCCCTATTTGAATTGTGTATCTTGACTCATTTGTCGAGAAAAAATCGATTTTTTTTTTAAGTGTCTTTGCGCATCATGTTATTCCATAGAATTTTTGTTCAACGATATTGAAGTTATTTAACTTCTGATGCACTAATTTATTTTCCACTCTGAAAGTGCACTCCAAAGTTTTCCATTGGAATAATTGCAATTGATATCTGGATAAATCTGGCATTAATTCGGAAACTCAACCACCATCGTGACTTAGCGCATAGACTGCGCTGTGAAAGGATAAGACCCTGACCTAGAATGTCAAAATGAGCTAAGAACTAGAGAGCGAGCTCCAATTGGTTAAAGGACCCAAATATTAACGTATCCTCAGGTGTTAGGCACCAACCCTCTAATGAACTTTTTCCTAAGCTGAATCTGGGCGCCAGCCTTGACGACCAGCCCCCCGCAGTTAAGGTCGTCAGGCACGATGTCCAAAAAGTTTCTAACGCTGAAGATGTATTTTTGGGTGTCTCTACTTCCTTTGCTGACTTTGTGGAAGGTTTTGGAAGGGGGATGTGCTGTAACCGAGGGAAGCTCATTTTCCCTCTTTATCCTTTCTTTTTTCCTTTCTTGCGCTACCGTAATAAGTCACGGTGACGTTTGAGGATGGGTGATTCGGCTTATCGTTTACAAGGCAAGGATCCTCAGACCGGCGTTTATTCAGAGGCAAATACTTTCCCTGGTTATAATGATTTAGCCAAGTCACCATTAAGTGCGCCCCTGGTGTCCTACAAGGAAATATAAAATGTATTTATTGACTGAGTGGAGGTTTCTCGGACAGGAAAGTACTCGGCGCAGCGCAGCGAGGCCCGGACTTCAGGACCCAGTGAAGTAGGGTATGTTCAATCCAAGAGAAATTAATTCCGTTGTAATATCAAAAAGGCTATTACCTTGTTTTGCTAACTTTGAATTATTACGTTTGAGCCTTTAAATTGAATCCTCTAATCACGAATTTAAACAAAGTTTTATATCTCATAAATGTACCGATGCACTAGCTTACTAACGTTTTCTCTCAATGGTTACTTAAATTCCTCTTAATTGGTTGGTGGTGAGGTTTTTCCTGTTTTTGTTTTGTTTCCTTTAATTTGTTCTTTTTAAAGACAACTTTCTTTTCGAGCACCAGACAGGTTGTATGACTTCTAAGAGGTTAGAAGTGAAAAAAGGATCGATGCCAAAAGTTTCAAGCAGATGAACCAAGCGACCAGTCATGTGTTTAAATTAGAATTCTTCGAATATTCCGAGAGAGTTTGTTCCTGCGACGATTGTACCTATATACTTCAAGAGCGAACGGTGGTACCTGCGTCACTAAATCACGCGAGATGTTTGCCTATGGCCTGTATTGCGTGGAGATAAACCAAGTCCTAATTTAAAAATTGCGATGCTTAGGGTTATTTATGATGACTAACCTCAACGAGATGCCATCAAATATGGCCATGAAAGGTAGCCTTTCCACTGGAGCATAGACCCAACACTGATGCATTATGATATACAACCAAGTAGGACAACATTTCGGCTGGCACTTGCCTTGCACTTGCGGCAGCATCTGCCATGAAGAAATGTATCGTTCATATGCCTACTGCGTGTCATTGTGGTTTCTATATCTTACATCTCAAGACATGATTGAGAGATTCTTTCGCCTTCTTCACGGCTCATAAAAGGAAAAATCCGTCAAATAACAATCAATCTATTTTAAGAGCCAATTTGTAGTGTAGAAAAATGCAATGCAATGCAACGGTGCAAGCTTTGGTTGCTTCTTGTTAAATGCGACCAACACTTCAGTTCTCACCAAAAAAAACTTTCAGTTTTAAGGGCTTGTATTTCTTGACGAGACACATGATGAGATATCGGTTGATTAGTATTTGCTGTAAGTAATACATATCAAAGCCAACGAAATCCTTAATCTCACTGAAAACCACAAACATACCTTTGCATTGTATGTAGGAAGAGGAGTTGGGCCGATTTCTGGGCTCATTTGCTCTAACAATAAAAGAACAATAACTCAAATTAAATAACTCGTTGTATGTTTCAATAAACTTATCAAATTAAGAAATAATTTACGAAAAAAATGCACGATTAGAATCGTGTTATATAAGACTGAGAACAACTCAGAACCTCGCCAAAAACCGACTAATAAAACTCCAGGTAAACCCAAAGCAGTAAGTACCTGCATTTCGCATTTCTTGTAACTTATTTTGGACATCAAACAAACTGCTGCAGTATCGCTGCCACTGCCAGTGCTGGGTTGACAACTCGTATCTGCAATCATCGAAATGCGCTTTTCGAGGCAAAACATCACTGTTGTCTGCAACCTCAAAACCGAAAAGAAAAGAGACTTTAGAGCTGACTGTACATTTACCTGCGCCTTACGTACAATGTTTTCACGAGAAAGCGTATGGTCAGTACACTGGTCGTTTATCTCTTGGCAGACAGCCTTTTACAGTAAAAAGGTTTGAACCCAAGGGTAACATCTGAAGAGTATTCTGATCGTCCTTTTGAGGGTAGTCCTGAGAAGGACTGTTTTGGTATTAGTGACTAATGTTTCGACAACCTGAGCGGAAGTCATCAACAGAGTCAAGTGAAGAGTTGTTGGTAGTCGAGTGTTAGAAGTCCGGTACGTATAATTCCAGTGCGGACTTAAAACACTTGACTGACAACTTGAAACAAAAATGATTTTGAAATTTCCCTCCCTATTAGGAGAGAAAAATGAACGAAATGTCGAGTATTTGCACTCGTTTGACACTTACATATACAAACAAAATATTCCTCGCTGGATGGTACAGACAAGTCAACACCCATAAATCGGAAGAAGTAGAATGTGTCGTTGACCCTTGAGTCGTACCCCATTCAACAGCTAACTCCGGATTATATGACGTTGTTACGAGTTCTAGAAAAAAAAATAATAATAAAAGCAAATTTTTGGAATTCGGAAAATGCAACACACAACTTAGAGATGAAGGCCGATCTAATGCATCATTTCATTTTGGGAATGATTCACCCAAATAAACTTAGAGTGAATTATTACACGTACGATCAGTTCCTTACCCCTCGTTGATTGTAAGAGAGTAAGGTCTTCAACGCAGCTAAAGGAGGCTCCGATCATAACAGCTTGGGTTTCCTGATTAACTTGTGCTACAAATTGTCCACCTTCAGCTGCGAACGTCCGACTGCGTAAATTACTGTCTTTCATGCATTTAAACAGGTGGCACCACCTTTCATACTCCGTGATTAAATGACGATGGATAATTTCCTGTTCTGAGCCCAGGAAAAAAGAAGTATCACATCGATTGAGACTTCTTAGGTGTTTCAGGCCGGACGGCTCTCGAATGAAGCTATCTTGAAAAAGGGAGAGTTGCCATCCTTCTGAGGTCAGTAACACAACTTTGTTGGCCACCGTAGAATTTACTTGTTCTCGGTTAAAATGTCTAGTTTCACAAAAACACATCAGACTGTGGCTGCCAGCTGCCTTCTTGATCCCAAATTCCTGATCTTCACGTGCCAATTCAATTTCGCGGAGCTCATCTGCTAGATAATTCATTTCTATTCCGGAAAAAAAGAAGTACAATGCACTGCGTTAACTATAGCGGTGAATACGACTGTTGACAATCAAACATTTATGTTCTGTGAGAGGGTTTTGATATAAATAACGATACAATTTTCCCGAAAAAATTGGACAGACAGAGAAAATCTGCGGTATAACATAAGAAAAATCCAATTTATGGCAAAAAACAGTATCACAGGGTACCTTTAGAGCTCAACACTCTTTAAGTAAATAAATTACTCCTATATTTGCGACATAAGTTGAGGCCCAGATTAGACTACAGTGTGTGCTATATTGCTAAATTACTGCGTAATATAACGAGTGGAGAGAATTTTAACGCTAATAATAGCTAGCTACATATAGCAACCGAGTAAGAAAGGGCAATTATCTTTTACAAATACGATATTTGCGTGTTTTCTAAGTTGTGTTGATATATATGACCTTCTACAAGTTTTGTTATATGTGCTAGCTCTACAACATGATTATCTACATTAAATGAATTTAATTGAGGTAAACGTTTTTGCGGGGGCCCAAAGACTATAGCTCGCAGCCAGGCAGACACATTCAGAAGTTCAGAATTTAATTTGCTCTTGGGGAATATTTGCTCCTATGCCCACCCGGACGATCAGGCTACGCAATCCGACAAAATATTTCCCCCCTCCCCCCGATTTCCAACCAACTACTGTATAAGCAGTAAGAATCAACATACGTGGAATTCTCTCTCCAATAAGGGAGTCTTCGCCAAACCTCCTAACTTCGACAGTGCCTAGATTAAATTCGAAGACAGCAAATGCAGACTGCACATTCCCAGGTAACGCTCGATCAGATGAAAAACAAAACTCAGCACCCTGAAAAACAGAAATCGATAGCATTACGAACACTAAAGCGATCAGGAGGATCACCATACCATGTACAGCTAGACGAGTTAATCCATTCAGATACAGTCAGAATTTCCTTAAAAGTTCAAGAACTATTAAGTAACTTAAACTACTTGTTTCCTTTTTTCATTTCTATGATTATAGGATTTCGCAGTAGGATATACTCATCATGGGTGATTTCCATACAAAAATTCCAATACAATTATAGCATTATAACATGCATATGACATAAAGCCACCTGCATAAGCATTTCAATCACATACGGTGTGCACTGATACAATTAAAAAAATACCTCGCTACGATAATTTTTGGAAACCCTTACCTGCAAGGGAACTTTTTTCGGCGTGACACTGAAGTCGAAGTGCTCATCTTCATGTGGCGACAGATCATCTGCAGAACAGCAATGAGATTTTAAAAAGAATCATGGACATACAACTTCTGCAAATTCCCTCTAGATCGTTTGTTGCCTTCTCTGAAATTATGGTGCATCATTATCATCGTTACAGATAAAAAATTTCAGTATAATTTCAAATTAACCACAAGCTGCGCGCTTGGCCAATTGGAAATCATTCACCTGATTACTTTCTGAATTGTACTCCACTTAGTCCTATTAACGACTACTTATAGATATAAATGTGTAAGGATTTAGGAGGGTAATTTGAGTAACTTTCCACACAAAGCTGCAAGCATGGTTTACAGCCTCTTACCTGAGGACAAGTTGTGATCAAGTCCAGAAATACCACTAGTGGTATTGTGATTATCGGCTGAGCTGTCAGACATCTATTAAAAGAAACAATGTAAGGTCATGTAATGATAGGCGTGAAAACACTGATCCACATTTAAAACACCCATCTTGCTATACTTAGACGATAAAAGAACACTTTTAATTTAAATGCTATTGCCTTTTGATTCTTGACATTCAACTCTATTAAAAAAAAAACCCTATAAGGCTTTTGTACACGATGCTTTTGCTTCTCCACTCAAATGCTCCCTTTAATGCTCCTCTTTTCCCTACAAAAATGCTAAGTCTCCACTATTAGTTTAGTAGATAAATTTATCTCATTCATCTCTTCACTCATTGAGAGAAATATTACCTCAAAGGTATTCAACAAGGCTCTGTATGTTTGCCCAGCTGTTCCACAGTATAATAGCAAGGCATATCAGTACTGGATCAATAAAATATTTGTACAGACTACTAATTCCCGTGTTTAAGCGGCTGAATATTTCTACGTCAAAATGGATGTAATAAATGATTGATAATTTTTGACAAGGTAACCTTTTTAATCAAGCAATCACATTCTAATTTTTGGCTTGCTAAGAGATGAGAAGATCTTACTTCCATTGATTGATCCAACGCTGTTTCCAGGTTAAGACCACCACCTGCTTAAGGTAAAAAATATATGCACACTAGTGTTCTTCAAAGAAAATATTTGAAAACGTTTTTAATGGGCATTAGACGAAGGTAACATCTAAGTCCTTCGTGAGGAGGCGAACCAAGAACTTTAAGAATCAACAGTGCGATTTTCTACAAATGAGCTAGAGAGAAAAATAATGCTGAGCAACACCATACACTAGGCTAACACAAACTAATAATTTATCTGATAAATTGCCGAGCAATACTAAAATCAATGTATATGTGGATCCTTCCCACGGTTTATGGTGGATAGTAGCAGGTCGCCCCCACAAGCCCTTGCGAGTCCCGCAGACGGTCCCAGAGGCTGACCCGTTTGGTATCTCCCTTAGGGTAACAATTTCTTAGGGATAGAGTATCAATTTCTTAGGGTTAGAGTAACGAAACTAGGGCTTTAGAATTTCAAATTCGCCTACACTCAAGGATGTGGCCACTTTACAGCCTGAAGCTGGCCGATAACAAGCACAATTTCGACCCCATTTCCTCATACTTGGTTATATGTGACCCTCCACGGGAAAACGGACACTAACGCTTTTCCGTTAAACGGTCTCGAAAAACGGTTGTAAACGGATAGTAAACGGTTAACTCGAGCGTTTAAACGGATGCCATGAAAAATAATGCTGAGCAACACCATACACTAGGCTAACACAAACTAATAATTTATCTGATAAATTGCCGAGCAATACTAAAATCAATGTATAATTATATCTTAAATAACAAAAAAGAAAAACTTGAGATTCAGATCTACCTGCAGGGGCTGCGTTTTGTGATTCCGTAAAACCTGAGGTGGATAGCGCTCTGTCCATACAAGTAATGTACTCTGACGTTATAGAGTCATTCAAGGGATACATGTTACTCTGATCCATGAATGTTGCGCTTGATTCCCTCCGGGTTAGTTGGTCCATATTCTGCAAAGCCGCTGCATCAAAATCATGGGAAAGAATTATTTTAAGTTTTTTTGTGGGCATAACTTAAACTAGTTATAATTTCTGCCATGACCCAAGTGTGCAGTAAGAATCCATGATTTCTTATGAAAGGTTGAATAAGCTAAATTCCCATTTTCCCAATTTTATGGTAATTAACCTACAAAGAGGCTGAGATGTTTTTCTATATATTACATGTACATGTATCATATCTACAAAAATAAGTTTTCATTGCTGGATCTAACTAATCATTATATGTGTGCTACTGTTCATAATGGATCTTAATGTAACCTGATTTTGATTTACCTGCATCTGCTATGTGTAGTGGATTTATCAGATTAGAATTTGTGCTGGCTGCCAATGGCCCATTAAGAATGTTGCCTTCTTGCGTTGAATAGTCATTCTGAGGTTGCAAAGTATTCTGAACCATGACTGTTGCACTTGTATCACTCATTGAGGTTGTTTGGTTCAAGGTTGACAAAGCCACTAAATAAAAAAAAAAGATAAGGGAAAGAAATTGTCAATTTCATTGATGTATATAGGACCAAACTATGTTTTTCTGATACAAACTTCACCTCCTGATAAACTACAAATTTATTACCTGGTGCTGAGCTGATGGTAGCATCATTGGTTTCAGGTGCTGATTCTTGTGGCATCTGAAACACAAAGAAAACAAATAATACATTGATAATGCTGCTTTTTAATCTTAATACGATAATGATTTACCTTGTGAATTGCAACTAAATAAATTAATCCACAAATTAAATTATTGGATATACTTAAAAGCTGGTTGTGAAAATAGTGTGCATCATTGACATAGCTAGTAAATTTATGGGATTTCGCAGTAGAATAACCTCATTATGGTTGATCTCCATAAAAAAATCCCCCTACAATTATAGCATTATAACATGCAAATGACAGAAAGCCACCTGAATAAGCATTTCGTATAATGAGTTCGTGTGAGACAGAAACAACATCAACAAAACTGTTAAAATGTTTTTTGCAACCAACCAAAAATCTGTAGCGTTTAAAAGTTTGATTAATATCAATAAAATATTTATACAGACTACAAAATCCTGAATTCAGTGAGCAGCTGAATTTTCCAATATGGATGTAATAAATGGTTGCTAATTAAATGACAAGGTTGATGATGAAATGACAAGGTAATCATTTTTAACGTAAAATCTGGGGTGGATACCATTATGTCCCAAGGAGCAGTGTAGTCCAGCATTAGAGAGTCATCCAAGGGATACATGTTACTCTGATCCATGAATGTTGCGCTTGATTCCCTCCGGGTTAGTTGGTCCATATTCTGCAAAGCCGCTGCATCAAAATCATGGGAAAGAATTATTTTAAGTTTTTTTGTGGGCATAACTTAAACTAGTTATAATTTCTGCCATGACCCAAGTGTGCAGTAAGAATCCATGATTTCTTATGAAAGGTTGAATAAGCTAAATTCCCATTTTCCCAATTTTATGGTAATTAACCTACAAAGAGGCTGAGATGTTTTTCTATATATTACATGTACATGTATCATATCTACAAAAATAAGTTTTCATTGCTGGATCTAACTAATCATTATATGTGTGCTACTGTTCATAATGGATCTTAATGTAACCTGATTTTGATCTACCTGCATCTGCTATGTGTAGTGGATTTATCAGATTAGAATTTGTGCTGGCTGCCAATGGCCCATTAAGAATGTTGCCTTCTTGCGTTGAATAGTCATTCTGAGGTTGCAAAGTATTCTGAACCATGACTGTTGCACTTGTATCACTCATTGAGGTTGTTTGGTTCAAGGTTGACAAAGCCACTAAATAAAAAAAAAAAAGATAAGGGAAAGAAATTGTCAATTTCATTGATGTATATAGGACCAAACTATGTTTTTCTGATACAAACTTCACCTCCTGATAAACAACAAATTTATTACCTTGTGCTGAGCTGATGGTAGCATCATTGGTTTCATGTGCTGATTCTTGTGGCATCTGAAACACAAAGAAAACAAATAATACATTGATAATGCTGCTTTTTAATCTTAATAAAATAATGATTTGCCCAGTGAATTCCACCAAAATGAATTAATTCAAAATTAAATTATTGAATATTTGCACAAACACTACCTACAAGCTGGTTGGGAAAATAATGTGCATCATTGACATAGCCAGTAAATTTTTGTAATCATGCAAATTAAATTACATGAGCAATTTTGCTTCAACACTAAATGTCAAAGAGCATGCTTATATACATGACACCAGCTAATGAAGGCCTCAACATTTAATTTTTTTCCTGCAAAATTAACTTGAAAGTTGATGTCCAGTTTCTTGGCCACAAGTTTTGAGATTTTTAAGGTGGTTATTTCTTTCCATACTGATTGAAATAGACATTCATGCACTCTAAATGAAAAGTAAACTTATAGAAGGATACTTGAAATTGGAAAGCAATGGACATATAAGCCTATAAAGTGACAAAAAGAGCTTTTGAGTGAACAATGTTACGATTCTCAAATGCAAAATGAATGGTGGCTGGAAAATGAAAAGTGAATTTGCTGACTGAAGCAAGGCTTCACCATTTTTTTTGATGGCTCAAAAAGTTACATACAAATATTATTTTGTAGCAATACACATACATGTATATAGGCAAGAGAGTAAAATAGTTTTAGAAGTAAGGCTAGCAACTCATGTACAGTGTATGTCGTTATTCCTAACCAATTGATAGTAAACTACCCTCCAACAAAAAATTAATTTAGTACAATGCACTGAGAAAACCTTCCTGCAGCACTGTGGGCATTATTGGGTACATTATTTTTTTGTGTGCATGTGAGTAAAAGACATTCTCTACAGTTCTCATCATATATATATCTGGCTGAAGGAAACACTTTAAACACTAAAAGATGCCTTAGCTGGCTGACAAAAATATATATATATCCAAGTAAAGAATAGTAGCTTTCTAGACTGTGTTACAAAAGAATTCATGTTTGAAGGGCCTGAGCTCAGCATGTGAACAAACTCCAAGCATGATACATTGTGTGAGGTGGTACAAACATACCTGATCATCCTCCAAAATAATGTAAAGGACTGAGTCACCCTTCACTGTTTTCTTTATCATCGCTCCATCCCAAACACGAGGGTCTCCATGAAATATAAAAGTTGAACTTTTCTGGCTAAAGGATGCACAAGAAAACCTAGCCATATATTGAAAAATGCATATAAATTGAAAAGCAATGATCGATTTTCTCCTACTGGACTACTGATAACACAGTGCAAAATAAATATGTTTTACTACAATTAATCAAATTGAAGAATTTTCTTCAACAATTGAAACAGGTCAACCACTAATCAGTCACACTTTAACTAAGTTATCAGTGTTGGTCCTGCTAAAATAACAATTGAACTAATAACTACATAACAAAACCTTTTTATCATTACCTTCTGGTTAAGTTAAACAAAGGATATGATTGCCGGAGTGTTTCCCTCACTTCTTCATCTGACATCTTGCTAGAAAATGGTACATTTTTCTGATAACGTCCAGTGGGTGACCTTCTTAATACTCCCAATTCTACCAATGTTAGCATAACCATTTTGTCATCTTTCTTAAAAAAATCACTGCACTTCAGTAACATAACCTTTCTGGTGAAGGAGTCTGCAACACTTGATTCTGCCATTAGTTGTTTAAAAGAACTGTTCCTGAAACAAATATTGCATACTACCTAAGCTCTCTGTAACCCTATATGAACTATACATAATGGGTACTTCATTAAATGCAGTGAAAAGCAATTTAACTGAGTTTACAACAAAGGGCATCAGTGTTCTCTAGTAGTCAGAGGTTTTTTGCATATGCGTATACATCAGAATTCTATGTGTTCTTCATTTGAAGCATTCTTGCATGTGCTATGAGTGTGAACTTTCTGTGTTAATTATTTGGAGTGACAGCTCATTGTCCAGGCACAGTTTTCCCCACCCCTTCCCTCCCTCTTTCCACTGTTTATCCAGTGTGACAGGTGCCTGTTTCCCTTTCCTGTGTGGAGGTTCATAGCTGGGTTACCAGGATTTGCTAGCCATGGAAGCAGTCTCCATCTAGGAGTTAGCTGTCAATAGTGGAAGCTCCTGGATGTCTCAGGCACCCAACCTCCAATTAGCAATGCAGTTGTTAACCTTGGTTTCTAAAGACATTGGTTTAAAAGCTCTCTTACAACCCCTTAACAAAGACAATTTTCCAGACCATTAATGATTAAGGAAACGTGCCTGCATCCTCAACATCAAAATGAACATTAAAACATCTTCAAGCATTGAATAGTCTTTATTAGATCAGGGTTCAATATGCTAACCCAAGGTTAAATTTTAATCTGGGTTTCTTTATTCCTTTGTTCATAAGTCTTTTTTTTCTAGACAGAAGAATTATTTATTTGATTTTCTTTTCGAGCTTTCAAATATAAATGGCACAGATTATTCATATTGAGATCTTGGGAGTGAAAGGGTTAATGCAATGCTGTACACAAAAAGTCTGAGATAATCTGATTTAGATTTACCTGTAGCTGCAATTATACAATTAAAGAATTATACATTTAATTTTTGTCTCAAGCTTTCAAATATGAACCAAACTTCACACTTATCCTGGTTATTTTAACCCAGCTTTGAACAATCCAGCCCTGACGTTGAAGTCTTAAATTATCACTTGTCATTGAAAGAAAAAAGATTCATGTGACTAAGAATGCATTCACAGACTTAGCTTAATCTTTTAGGACAGTTGCCCTCGTGAATATCTCCATAATTCTTTAACCACAACATTATTTACGTGTATTGAGACCAAAAATGGAAGGAGATTAGCAAAAAAAATATGAGCCATAATTAAGAGTCCCATATTATCTCTCTCACCTTCAAATGCTTCCACGTGAAAAGATGTGACACCCTTGAAGCATTAATCTGACGTATTCTTGTTAAGCTTGAAAAGTTGTCCACCAAAACAGAACACCCTTTGAAGCAAAATTCAAGGACTTTCTTCTTTTCAGGTGTTGTAACATAAGTATTTGCACTCAGTCCTATAAAAATTTATCATGGCACTGTTCAACCTGTGAGAAAAAGAGCTTTATAAGTAAGCAAAATTAAGCTTTAGCTGGCCACTTCTTGAATTACAAGACAATTAGGTTTAATCACCAGAGTTGATAAGCTTGATGTTTCAAGCATTGACCTTTGCCAATGAGAGTGAGGTTTTTAGAGACTTGCACATTTTATTTTTTAAATTGATCTCTAAGTATATAACAAATAAATTCCCATACTGAAAATCTTGATATTTATTTTACACCCTCAAAACTATTCACTATGAAGAAGACTTTTTTTCACCATGTCATGGAAAGGCCCGCATTTTTTTCGACCGCGCGCGCAAAACAGATCCTATTAACGTGTCTGAATTCGTCAGCGCAGTTAACATATACACGAGCGGTATTGTAACCGGTAAGAACTAGCATTTGAAACCTATGCGAATTTGGGAACGATATATATTTCACATTCAACTTCGGACAAGAAACTAAACATCAACAGGTATACTGCGCTGAGCTGTAAAAATTCAGTACCACCACACAGCACAATGTAGTATGTTGAAATTCACGACAGTTTTTTTTTTCTGACTCGTCTACCATGATAAAACTGGCCTCCTGTTGTTTACTGTAGTTGCGAGTGATGACAGAAAAACCAATGCAATCATCTAAAATTTAAGATAAGAATGCAAAAAAGCCACTCTTGGCAGGATTCGTGATTTCCTCAAACCATCGCTGATTTCTCGGCTAGTCTCAACGATTGTGATGGAGAACGCTCTCACATCAACATCACGTTCGAGGGAACTGCTTGGGAAGTTTACGTAGTTCGCATCGGAAGGACAAGGGATTATCTATCCGTGAGTGTAGAGCAAGGAAACGAAAAGAAAGAAAGAGCACAAGCGAGAAAATAAGAACGTGGTCCTCGAGGTCTAATTTTTCTTGTTTTCCCCATGTTGTCAACCACAAGTTTACCCATTTTTTAACTCATTTCAGTGCGGCCGTTCAAAACATTTTAAATAATTTACTTTCAGACGTCGACTCTTGATCTCGATTGATCTATTTGGTTAAAAGTGGTTGATTCTCACCTTTGAGCGTAAAGTGGATAGACATACCTTAAACGCGTTGTAAACCACGAAATGTTCTCCATGACTTCGCGAGTTGAAAAAGGTGTAAAATATGTCGTGATATAAAGCCCAGTGCTT